GGAACTATAAGGCCAAATGAGCTGAAATTTTCAGGGATTGTAGTCCTCTACTAAGATAAGAATCGCTGAAAATTTCAGCTTTCTATCTTTAATAGAAAAAAAGTTATGACCTTTCAAAGTTTTCTAAATTCTAAATCATAAGGGAGCTACCTTCTTACTAAAACGATGAAATTTCAAATTTTTTTTTGTTGAGATTTTGTGTCCTAATGGTCATTTGGGATCCCCCAAACTCCATGCACTAAATTATTCTCAGATTTGAAGCCGAAATCTATAAAATAGAGTACTCAGAAAAATTGAAAAATTGATAAATCACCCTAAATTGCTTAACACGATTTTATCTCGGGAACTATAAGGCCAAATGAGCTGAAATTTTCAGGGATTGTAGTCCTCTACTAAGATAAGAATCGCTGAAAATTTCAGCTTTCTATCTTTAATAGAAAAAAAGTTATGACCTTTCAAAGTTTTCTAAATTCTAAATCATAAGGGAGCTACCTTCTTACTAAAACGATGAAATTTCAAATTTTTTTTTGTTGAGATTTTGTGTCCTAATGGTCATTTGGGATCCCCCAAACTCCATGCACTAAATTATTCTCAGATTTGAAGCCGAAATCTATAAAATAGAGTACTCAGAAAAATTGAAAAATTGATAAATCACCCTAAATTGCTTAACACGATTTTATCTCGGGAACTATAAGGCCAAATGAGCTGAAATTTTCAGGGATTGTAGTCCTCTCCTAAGATATGAATCGCTGAAAATTTCAGCTTTCTATCTTTAATAGAAAAAAAGTTATGACCTTTCAAAGTTTTCTAAATTCTAAATCATAAGGGAGCTACCTTCTTACTAAAACGATGAAATTTCAAATTTTTTTTTGTTGAGATTTTGTGTCCTAATGGTCATTTGGGATCCCCCAAACTCCATGCACTAAATTATTCTCAGATTTGAAGCCGAAATCTATAAAATAGAGTACTCAGAAAAATTGAAAAATTGATAAATCACCCTAAATTGCTTAACACGATTTTATCTCGGGAACTATAAGGCCAAATGAGCTGAAATTTTCAGGGATTGTAGTCCTCTACTAAGATAAGAATCGCTGAAAATTTCAGCTTTCTATCTTTAATAGAAAAAAAGTTATGACCTTTCAAAGTTTTCTAAATTCTAAATCATAAGGGAGCTACCTTCTTACTAAAACGATGAAATTTCAAATTTTTTTTTGTTGAGATTTTGTGTCCTAATGGTCATTTGGGATCCCCCAAACTCCATGCACTAAATTATTCTCAGATTTGAAGCCGAAATCTATAAAATAGAGTACTCAGAAAAATTGAAAAATTGATAAATCACCCTAAATTGCTTAACACGATTTTATCTCGGGAACTATAAGGCCAAATGAGCTGAAATTTTCAGGGATTGTAGTCCTCTACTAAGATAAGAATCGCTGAAAATTTCAGCTTTCTATCTTTAATAGAAAAAAAGTTATGACCTTTCAAAGTTTTCTAAATTCTAAATCATAAGGGAGCTACCTTCTTACTAAAACGATGAAATTTCAAATTTTTTTTTGTTGAGATTTTGTGTCCTAATGGTCATTTGGGATCCCCCAAACTCCATGCACTAAATTATTCTCAGATTTGAAGCCGAAATCTATAAAATAGAGTACTCAGAAAAATTGAAAAATTGATAAATCACCCTAAATTGCTTAACACGATTTTATCTCGGGAACTATAAGGCCAAATGAGCTGAAATTTTCAGGGATTGTAGTCCTCTCCTAAGATATGAATCGCTGAAAATTTCAGCTTTCTATCTTTAATAGAAAAAAAGTTATGACCTTTCAAAGTTTTCTAAATTCTAAATCATAAGGGAGCTACCTTCTTACTAAAACGATGAAATTTCAAATTTTTTTTTGTTGAGATTTTGTGTCCTAATGGTCATTTGGGATCCCCCAAACTCCATGCACTAAATTATTCTCAGATTTGAAGCCGAAATCTATAAAATAGAGTACTCAGAAAAATTGAAAAATTGATAAATCACCCTAAATTGCTTAACACGATTTTATCTCGGGAACTATAAGGCCAAATGAGCTGAAATTTTCAGGGATTGTAGTCCTCTACTAAGATAAGAATCGCTGAAAATTTCAGCTTTCTATCTTTAATAGAAAAAAAGTTATGTCCTTTCAAAGTTTTCTAAATTCTAAATCATAAGGGAGCTACCTTCTTACTAAAACGATGAAATTTCAAATTTTTTTTTGTTGAGATTTTGTGTCCTAATGGTCATTTGGGATCCCCCAAACTCCATGCACTAAATTATTCTCAGATTTGAAGCCGAAATCTATAAAATAGAGCACTCATAAAAATTGAAAAATTGATAAATCACCCTAAATTGCTTAACACGATTTTATCTCGGGAACTATAAGTCCAAATGAGCTGAAATTTTCAGGGATTGTAGTCCTCTACTAAGATAAGAATCGCTGAAAATTTCAGCTTTCTATCTTTAATAGAAAAAAAGTTATGTCCTTTCAAAGTTTTCTAAATTCTAAATCATAAGGGAGCTACCTTCTTACTAAAACCATGAAATTTCAAATTTTTTTTTGTTGAGATTTTGTGTCCTAATGGTCATTTGGGATCCCCCAAACTCCATGCACTAAATTATTCTCAGATTTGAAGCCGAAATCTATAAAATAGAGTACTCAGAAAAATTGAAAAATTGATAAATCACCCTAAATTGCTTAACACGATTTTATCTCGGGAACTATAAGGCCAAATGAGCTGAAATTTTCAGGGATTGTAGTCCTCTACTAAGATAAGAATCGCTGAAAATTTCAGCTTTCTATCTTTAATAGAAAAAAAGTTATGACCTTTCAAAGTTTTCTAAATTCTAAATCATAAGCTACCTTCTTACTAAAACGATGAAATTTCAAATTTTTTTTTGTTGAGATTTTGTGTCCTAATGGTCATTTGGGATCCCCCAAACTCCATGCACTAAATTATTCTCAGATTTGAAGCCGAAATCTATAAAATAGAGTACTCAGAAAAATTGAAAAATTGATAAATCACCCTAAATTGCTTAACACGATTTTATCTCGGGAACTATAAGGCCAAATGAGCTGAAATTTTCAGGGATTGTAGTCCTCTACTAAGATAAGAATCGCTGAAAATTTCAGCTTTCTATCTTTAATAGAAAAAAAGTTATGACCTTTCAAAGTTTTCTAAATTCTAAATCATAAGCTACCTTCTTACTAAAACGATGAAATTTCAAATTTTTTTTTGTTGAGATTTTGTGTCCTAATGGTCATTTGGGATCCCCCAAACTCCATGCACTAAATTATTCTCAGATTTGAAGCCGAAATCTATAAAATAGAGTACTCAGAAAAATTGAAAAATTGATAAATCACCCTAAATTGCTTAACACGATTTTATCTCGGGAACTATAAGGCCAAATGAGCTGAAATTTTCAGGGATTGTAGTCCTCTACTAAGATAAGAATCGCTGAAAATTTCAGCTTTCTATCTTTAATAGAAAAAAAGTTATGACCTTTCAAAGTTTTCTAAATTCTAAATCATAAGGGAGCTACCTTCTTACTAAAACGATGAAATTTCAAATTTTTTTTTGTTGAGATTTTGTGTCCTAATGGTCATTTGGGATCCCCCAAACTCCATGCACTAAATTATTCTCAGATTTGAAGCCGAAATCTATAAAATAGAGTACTCAGAAAAATTGAAAAATTGATAAATCACCCTAAATTGCTTAACACGATTTTATCTCGGGAACTATAAGGCCAAATGAGCTGAAATTTTCAGGGATTGTAGTCCTCTACTAAGATAAGAATCGCTGAAAATTTCAGCTTTCTATCTTTAATAGAAAAAAAGTTATGTCCTTTCAAAGTTTTCTAAATTCTAAATCATAAGGGAGCTACCTTCTTACTAAAACGATGAAATTTCAAATTTTTTTTTGTTGAGATTTTGTGTCCTAATGGTCATTTGGGATCCCCCAAACTCCATGCACTAAATTATTCTCAGATTTGAAGCCGAAATCTATAAAATAGAGTACTCAGAAAAATTGAAAAATTGATAAATCACCCTAAATTGCTTAACACGATTTTATCTCGGGAACTATAAGGCCAAATGAGCTGAAATTTTCAGGGATTGTAGTCCTCTACTAAGATAAGAATCGCTGAAAATTTCAGCTTTCTATCTTTAATAGAAAAAAAGTTATGTCCTTTCAAAGTTTTCTAAATTCTAAATCATAAGGGAGCTACCTTCTTACTAAAACGATGAAATTTCAAATTTTTTTTTGTTGAGATTTTGTGTCCTAATGGTCATTTGGGATCCCCCAAACTCCATGCACTAAATTATTCTCAGATTTGAAGCCGAAATCTATAAAATAGAGCACTCATAAAAATTGAAAAATTGATAAATCACCCTAAATTGCTTAACACGATTTTATCTCGGGAACTATAAGTCCAAATGAGCTGAAATTTTCAGGGATTGTAGTCCTCTACTAAGATAAGAATCGCTGAAAATTTCAGCTTTCTATCTTTAATAGAAAAAAAGTTATGTCCTTTCAAAGTTTTCTAAATTCTAAATCATAAGGGAGCTACCTTCTTACTAAAACGATGAAATTTCAAATTTTTTTTTGTTGAGATTTTGTGTCCTAATGGTCATTTGGGATCCCCCAAACTCCATGCACTAAATTATTCTCAGATTTGAAGCCGAAATCTATAAAATAGAGCACTCAGAAAAATTGAAAAATTGATAAATCACCCTAAATTGCTTAACACGATTTTATCTCGGGAACTATAAGGCCAAATGAGCTGAAATTTTCAGGGATTGTAGTCCTCTACTAAGATAAGAATCGCTGAAAATTTCAGCTTTTTATCTTTAATAGAAAAAAAGTTATGACCTTTCAAAGTTTTCCAAAATCTAAATCATAGTTTCTGATTATTTTAGAACAATTACTGTTGATATAGCAGTGGTATAAGAAATATTCAACCATTTATTCGTTCTTTTCAGCTGAACCAAAAATCGAAGAACTACCAATCCAAATGCACATTAGACCGCTGGACAGTGCAGTGAACGTTTCCTGGGACAAGCCGAGCTGTAATTCGATTTCCGGCCCTCTAATCTACAACTTAACAGTGTGGAACGAAAATTTGAACTTCACAAAAGGCCTAGACTATCAAACTGGTACTACGTACTTAATCGAAGGTCTCAGGCCTTATACCAAACACAATTTGACTGTGGCTACTGCACGCAATGCCAGAAATCTTATGAGAGGCTCGAATGTTAATCAGTTGACTTACGAATTTGTTACTTTGCCTGCATGTAAGTACTTTAGTACTTATAAAGTTGTTTGCCAAAAACTTTTTTGCAGTGGCACCATCTGTAAAAAACCTAGAACTGTACGCAATTGGTACCAACAAAGCCCAACTAAGGTACGATCTACCATCAAACTCGCGCGGTACGCCTGTGGAAGTCCAGATAACCAAATGCAACGTTTTATCGTTTGCCAAATGCAAATCCACCATATCGAGGATAGCCAGGTGCCCCTTGTGGCCCCAAAAAATGTGCGCAGACGTGGATTATTTGATGCCCTATCAAAATTACAATTTCAAAGTTAGCCTGAAAAATGCTAATACTAACGCTTTTGGAGTGGAAAGTTTGATTAGTGCTGAAACCATTGAAAGAGGTTTGAGCTCAAGTTTCCATATATGTATTTGTGATTTATGGTTTTTTTTTTTTGCAGTCCCATCCGCACCAGGAAATGTTACCTACCAAGTGGTTGATTGTCACGAAACCATTGACTATTGCCATTTGAATATTAGCTGGTTGCACCCGTACAATCCTAATGCAACCATATCTCATTTCAATATTATTTTAAATAGTACTTATTTCAATAATTCTTATTCGGAAGAAGATCAGACAATGCACGAAGTATTGAGAATTGTCAACGATACTTACTTGCCAAGATATACTTATCAGGTAAATATAGTTACTATCTATATTATGTAATTTGGGCTTATGATTACCTAGAAAAGCAAATGAAATTTTTGTTTTAGGTAAAATATGTTCCTTACAGTCACGAATACAATCTATACCTACAATCAGCAAATAGTAAATACAAAAGCGACTTTTCAACTGCCACAGTGAAAACGGCAGATTTAGGTGATCACATTGATCAAACGCCAAAATTATTGGGTAAAGGCGACAAAGCAATTGTATTCAAACTACCACGTTTAGATAGAAGATTGGATTCGTACACTCTAACAGTAGCCGTACAAGATTTCAACGAAAACCTCCCACTGAAAATGGATTCAATTGAAAATCCTAAATTGGCAGATCATATTTGTCATCCCTACGGATCGACGTGGATATCGCAAGTGCTAAAAGTCAAAGATAATCAAACCAAAACTGTAACCATAAGCGGATTGGATGAAAAAAGAGCAATCAAACCAAACACGAAATATTGCATTATTTTTATTATAACAAACAAATATCGCGGAGAAGAGCACGATGTAGTGTATTATGAAAAATTAACTACACCTGATTCTCCTTCGTCTACGAAAGAAGAACCAAAATCAGGTTCTCTTAACCACTTATACATGTTACTGTTACTGCTACTATTGGTACCAATAGGCTTTGCTGTTTACTGGTAAGTTTGTACAGAATATTATAAATCAAATACACAATGTTATTGTTTTTAGGTTTATTAGAAGAAGGCAACTTAAGAGACCCAAACCACCAATTGAAAACGCTTACGAAACGCTACCATTTGAGGAGCACGATAAAAACTATGCCAATAGAACTTATGATTATCCAAAACACAAATAAGTACTTATATTTGGTTAACAAAACGAAAATTTCTGCCCTTCCTCTTTATCTGTGATAATAATATACAAATAATTGTTTTCAGTAGAACAACGCAATAGTTGTATGTAGATTTATTAACTGGTTACCAGGATATACTATTACCGAAACCAAAATAAGGCAGCTTAATGGAGTAACTATTTTGACTTAAAAAAAAAATATATATGAAAGCTGTCATTTAGCTTTTTAATATTGTGCATTTTAATTAAGCGTACTTATCTTTTTTTGTTAGTTTTTTTTTTTAATTGATTAATAAACGTGTCATATATTTGTCTTATTGAAAAAGAATTAAATATTAGAGGTATCCACTATACAAAGGATAAGTGACTATAAAATGGACAGTTACCTTTAGAATCTAAAATATTGCATCTCAAATACTTTTAATTTTTTGATAAAAGTATCTAGTATCTCCGTTTCTGTTTAAAAGGACCTGTATCTTGTATCTTGTATTTTGAAAGAGTAACTTTAGAGACATCAAAAGGCATTAAAGTTACCGCGAGAACAGTTTCTTTAGACCTATGCAACAGAGTTGATTGTGAACTTCAAAGCAATTTTTCCATTATATCTGGACAAAATAAACAGCAATCATCGGTTTTTTTGCCTACTATTTGGAATTGGAAATATAATAATGATAATGTAAGTGCCGTACAAAAACTAACTGGCCCAGTACCCTTAAACCCTTCTTCCTCCACTCGACAACTAAAAAAAGTTTCAAGGTCCATGTTTGTTGTTTCGATAGATAGATGCGTTACAGTCGGCCATGCTACTGATATTCTGTCCCGGAAATCTCACTCATGTCCTGGTCCAGCAATCCTGGTTACTATAAAAGATATTACAAAAGAAATTACCGTAAGCTGTTGATAGAGGGCAGCACTTCCGACAAGAGAAAATAATTTGAACACAGGTTTCAAACCTATTTTTTATTTTCTACTAGCAGTAGTAAAAAAAAATCTATATATTCCTCGGTAGAGAAAGTCATTATATACCTTACGCATTATAAACCTCGGCGCTTGGCATCTCGGTTTATAAAAGCGCTCGGTATATAATGACCAACTTCTCTACCTAGGTATATAATGTACTATTGACGATTTGACAACAGTAAATAAGATAATATTGACAATGGGAAATATGTGGAAACTGAAACCTCACCTGCTTTGTAACTATAACGAACAACGAACGACTTTACACTGTAAGCACCAGAATCTGTGACCAGAACTGAATGAATCCAGGGCGACGTGAGGCGTCTTTTATTTAGCAAAATTGGTGACGCTTTTAGTTTATCAGTTTCAAGACAGGCGACTTTTTCCAAGGAACCAGGAGTCAAAAGTCGTGTTTTAAGACATAGTCATCACACTTATTTGAAAACCGACTGATTACCCTTGGCTCTTGGTACAGTTTCGTCAGAAATTTGGCAATTTAATCTAACTGGTAAAAAAGCCAATTATGTAATTGTATTACGAAGCAAAAAAAGGACTTTTAGGCCGATTTATTATACACTACGATTAGATAGTAATTTTCTTTTGTGCTTTTCACGAAGGGGCCCATCAGGTACCTGTCTATGTGTAGAGTATCAAGTGCACCACTGCCTTCTCTATTGGATACAAATAACCTTCTGGTTTTCCAGATTGAACTTTATTGTAAGGACATGATAAACATGGAGTTATGTAACGAGAAACGTATTTCCTCATTCTGGGAAACCAGTAGTTAATTCCAATGCTTTTCAGAGTTTTATCGGTTGCAAAATGTCCTCTATTGCCATGTGATACATTGTTACCACTCTTCTTGCTTCTTTAAAAACATACCATCTGATACCATCAGGTGTTTTCCTATACAATCTGTGATCCGTAATTGTAAAGTCTTCGTGAATTCGTTTTTCTTCCGTATCAACTGGTTTTCTAGACAACACTTCGAGTACATATCTGCAACGTTCATCACCCTAATTACTTATGCCGACTTGCCATACATGAAAAGTGTAGGACTGTAAATGGCTCAAAACAAGATTGCGGCTCAGAGCATCGACATAAGCCATTTCACTTCCTGGACGATACTCGACTGAGAACTTCCCTAGTAACCAATCACCTTCGTATGCAATTCTTAGTCCTCAATGCACTGCAGTCTGTTACTAGTCTGAACTCAAGTCCTAGCAGGTAGACTCCGAATCGTTGGAAAGTATCCACAACAGCCACCATTTCGAGCTCATATGAAAGGTATCGCCCTTCTTCCTTGGTAGTCTGTCGGCTGAAATATTGAACCGGTCTCAACTTCCTGTTTTTGTAATAGGATTCCGCCTAGTCCAAATTTAGAAGCGTCTATATGAACCTCTGTTCCTGCTTTCGGATCGTAGATGGCAAAGATTGGTCTTTCAGTCAGAATCGTGTCTTTTCTATTCAACAAAGTTAATGGTCGTGCGATTTGAGCAAATGATATCACGTATTTTCTGAAATAACTGCAGAGTCCAACAAATTTTCGAACATTGTGGACATTTTGAAGTATGGGAAAATTCTTTACTGCTTGAATTTTCACATTACCGGGTCGTACACCATTTGCACTAATTTCGTGTCCTAATCAATACTTTCCTGGAAAAATTTGCATTTTTAAAGCCGTAGGAGTAACGCCTAATATTCTGAAACACTCCAAGACATCTGCAAGAGCAATCAAACCGGAATTAGAGTTTGTAGATGGCACTAAAACATCATCCATATAGGCCATCGCAGTAGAATATCGCATAGCGCCAATATTCTATTCATGGTTCTCTGGAACATTGCTGGAGCGTTAACCAAGCCGAATGGCATACGGAGATACTCATTTTGCCCATCCGGAGTGACGAAAGCCGTTTTCTGCCTTGACTCCTCCGCCATGGAAATCTGATGGTATCCACTAGCCATGTCCAAAATAGTGAATAATTTACAGACGTTAAGTACTTCGAGGTAATCATCAGTGTGAGGCAAGGGGTAACTGTCTTTGATAAGGATAATGTGACTAGAGTATGGAAGATTTGAATCTTGGATTATATCAGCAGGTAGATGGCTGTTTACTATCTTTCGAACTTTTTCTCTCTCACTGAATGATAAACGATAAGGTCTGTACGTCACAGACCTCTCGTCTAATAAATTTATATTCATTTCTACACCCTTAATTTTCCCCAATTCAATAACATTCTGAGCAAAACAGTCACGATATTTATTCAATAAATAATAAGAGTTTTTGAGCATCGTTTTGAGGTAAATTTGTTGAAACCTGATTTTTTAAGTCACTTAGGGTGAATTTGGGCAAATCTACTAAATTAACCTTATTAAGGTTTAAAGTCAACCCCTATTTTCTGAACCTTGTGTTCAAAAATTCCAAAAAAAATATATGTTTTATGGTTATCGATATACTTTAATCCATAATTTTTTTAAGCAAATTTGACTCGCCATTTTTGAGTTATATCGCAAAAACTGAAGAAAAAACTAGTTTTTCACCATTTATTTCAAAACGAATAGATGAAGTTTCCCATTATTTTTCTTACGAACTACTATTGTAATTCTACGCGACATATATTATTTTCAAATTTTTTGAACTTGTAGTTTTCTCGCTACTGCAAAAATAGCTGGAAATACGCCCGTAGCTACACTGTTTTAAAAAAAATCCGACGGATGAACGTTCAAAATTATTTGCGTTGGTCGAAACTACAACCCTGTTTATGTTAAACAGAGAAATACTTCGAATTTCCGCCCAAAAAAAGAAAAAACGTTCCATCACACAATTTAACCAAATGAAGATTTCTATTTTTTTTTGACAGTCAAGTTAGGGCACACTATAGGGGCGACAGCATTGACATCTCGCGTTGCTGTAATAAACTTTAGGCCTCACTTTAAACCTTGTCCACAAAAACGTCACGTCATCATAATCGCCATTGTTCACACATCTCACATATCCAATATGGTGGGGAGTGGGAAGGAATCTGAACCTTATTTTTAGTTGATTGTGATTAGGGAATGCAATCCCGCAAGATAATTCCAGTCCCGGTATTTGCGGGACTGGACATTTCCGATCCTGCGGGATCCAGGTATTTGCGGGATCCCGCAGAATCCTGTGTGACTTTGCAAATAAATCATAATATAGTACCAGATTTAAAGGGTTTTGACTAAAATTGAACAAATATCAAGTATCAAATTATTCAATAATATTTTTCAAAGATATTTAAACATTATTATTAGAAGATTAACATAACAAGTTAGAAGATATTTAAATATTATTTTGGAAATAACTGCACAAACGTCATGTCGTTTTGATTATTCATTTACACAACTTGCATTCTGAAGAATAAAAAAATTCACCTTTTCAAGTTATCATTATGTCGGAAATTGTAGCTCTGTTCCAACCGACATGAGAATCGTTCCAGAACCAGTAATTTCCAGTTGCCCACCTATTTTTCAATGAGTTTATCCTACTTGACAAATTAATTGATCAACCGGAAATTACAGTTCTAGAGCGGTTCTCATGTCATCTCATACCTACTTAAAATAGTAAATTTTATTTACTTAACCACAATTAAGAATTTGTTGCACTGCGAACTGCGACCCCTACACGTCCTTATTAAAAGTTGGAACAAAAGTGCCAAAATTAAAAAAATATTAAACAACTTCGAATTAGGGCAAGAAAGTTTCTCTCAGACTCCTCATCACAATTTGTCGTCTAATTCGCGCGTACCAGGCCCGAGTAACACTATAAGTCAGTTCATTTCAATCCCGCAAATCCCCGCGGAATCCCGCTCAGTTTATGAGCGAGATCAGTCCCGCATATAGCATGCGGAATCCCGGTATTTCGGGATCCCGGTATCCCGGTATTGCATTCACTAATTGTGATTCGTTCCCTGTCAATTTTTAGTCTCCAATATAATTTTTGGTGGTAAATCATCAATTTCGGGGAGATCTGTAAATGCGGTGCTGAACAGCCGTACACTGCCATTCTTGACCAGTTATAGCTTCTGGGTCGCTCAAAACAGATCTACCAATTAAAATGGACATAACCTGAAGATGGTCAGACACAATGTAAACTGAGACGTCAGACTTGAAAACATCTACATTCAGATTCACTTCAGCGTTGCCCAGGACCTTTGATGTAGATCCACCATAGCCATTCAGATTGGTATCGCAGTCGGTTTCCCTGATAAACCCCTCGAATCGGTGACCGTTTATGGAACAGTCCACGTAGTATAACCGTCCATTTTTACTGTCTCCTGAATGTCACACATTAAAGTCGAGTGCTCCTTGGATTTGGTGTTATTATTTTTGTTTTTGAAACATTTCTCAGCAGAATGTCCCAGTTTGTTACACAGGGAACATTTCAGCCTTTGGACAATGAACCTGCATGTGACCGGTTTCTCCGCAGTTATAACACTTTTCAACTTCCGCTTAGAATCTAACTAAAAACGATCATCTTTAGAGTATTCCGTCCTATGCTTTTCTGGCGTTCGAGAAAATTCTTGTTTGCCACATGGAAGTGCACCGTTGGAATTGTGTATTTTCCAAAGTTGATAGATATTCTCGGTAAAGATCCTCTGCACAAACATACCTGCCGACTTTGGCTCCAGACTGAATTGTTTTGTCGGGAATGCCGTCAATAATCATGGCTACAGCGTTTTTGCCCGAAATTTGACACTGTCTGAGTAGTTGTTGCTTCGCAAAATAGTATTCAGTCCAGGTTTCATCTGAACTTCTCACTCTGGAAATCAAATTTTTCAGGTTTCATCCAGACTATCGTACCAGGTTTTCGCTAAACCAGCTAGCCTACTTTGCATGTGATAAATCACAACTTTTTCGTCACACTGATTTATATGAGCTAGCTGATCTATTTTATCCAACTACCTGATGCAGCTTTAATTTTCATTTGCTGGATTGAATTCAGGAATGGAATTTGGATTCACTGTTAATTTTGTCTGATGTTTGTCACCTTCCTTGCTCAAAATTTGGTTCACAAGATTTTCCAGCTGCTCAATTCGTAGTTGCTGAGCTGCAAAAGTTGAATCGATAGTGTGATGTGAGCTTCTACTTGAAGAGGGACTGCGCACAACGATTGCGTGACGCACAAGATTGTGTTGTACTAACGCGATAGGACCGCGCTCTGTCGTACCCGTTGGTCGCCTACTTTGATTGGTAGAGGTTGATTCAACACATACAGCCTTAACATTTTCCGTGTCATTCAAATTTGGAGAAGTTAGCGAGACATCAGCATCCTCGAAATTCCCAGATCGACTACCTCGAGGAACGTCGGGAATCTACGCCAAATCAGTAAGATGCGAACTTGCTCTTTTAGAAAACCCTGCTGTTGAACTCACATGTCTAGAGTCTGTTACGATAAATTTATCATTTACGTAACAAGAAGAGATGGACTTCTTGTTTTCATTATAAAGTCGTATTTTTTCCATTTCAGAATCAGCAAAATAATCTAAAATATCCACAAAGTTCAAAATAATACAAGTGCTGCCATCTATCCATCATCTGCGTAAAGTGCAAATATCTTCTATTCATTTACCAGTACTGCCATCTAGTACCTGATGGATTTATTTTTCAAAGTATGATTTTAATTATTTCGCATTTGACAGTCATTTGTATTTTCATTCAAAGAAATTATATTTATCTCACTTTTAGCAAATAGATATATTTCTGTCTTTCCCTAACCTCTGATTCTGAAATAATCATTTTTTGACTTTTAATTTGTAAACAATTAAAATAATTCTTGTGGATTTTTATCTATTCTCTTTTATTCCACGTGGGTTTTCATTGTGATTTCATTGTGAAGTGAATATGATTTTTTGGGTGTACTCGTCTGATTGGTTGAACTGGTTGAAATGCAGTTAAGTATAAAAAAAACACTGGATCGTTTTCCTGTGGGCTTTGGTTTCTAAAAGATCTCTTTCCTCAACGAAGGTCTGGCAGGCAAGTCCTCTTTATTTTGAATAATTTTTGCTTTGTATTTTTGGATTCTTTCTTATAGATTTTTCAATATATTTTGCTATCAATGCATATTATCATATCATTATTAAGTTTTTACCTGATAAATCTTATCTCATCTGTTCTTGAAATATAAATATTATATTTTAATTTTTTTTATCTAATTGTTGGCTTCCATTTTGTGTGAGTGTCGATTGGTATTGTATTGTCACGTTTATCTGAGGTAAGTCAATTCAGATTTTTGGATTTTAGAAAGGCACTGCTACTCTGGTTTTCAGAATCAATTGTTAGTGTGGGAATATTGGACCATTTGCTCTGAATAGAGTCGGTGAAAACCTAATTTGTGTGTCCATCCCTATCAACTCTTTATAGAATCCAGGCAGAGGCCTGAATAGCCATTTTCTGTTTGACTCCCTCAATTATTAACTCGACTAAAGGGTGTAATTTTTTAATAGAAATCCAGACAGGTCAAAAATTCAGAAAAAAGTTTTAGTTAAAACATCTCAAGAATTTTGACATATTCTGGATTTGATTAATTTCAATCCCAGGTTTATCTTGTAGTATCTATAGTGGCCACCTGCTACCTTAATTTGAAAGGAAAATTTTGTCTATTTAGGGGAGAATCCAAAGATTTAATTTCGACATACCTACATTTTCTTATAAAACGCATTTTTTTTCTTTTTTGCTCTGTATATCCGTTGCTATTCCCAGTTGGAAGAAGTTGATGACAGATTATTTGTAGGCACTTGATTGCGTAGCTTTTGGACCACCCTGTATCTTCAATGGTTTCCAAAATCCCCATATACTTCAAGTTATTCCGGACACCTTGTATTATGTCCAATCAGCGGAAAGAAGTAAAAAGTCATAATCACAGTAGTACAAACAAAAAAGTAGCGGAATAATTTATACCTAGGACAAATTATAAAATACCTGACGAAAATCATACATAAGAAGATTGACTTGGCCCATCATTCAGAAAACATTACTTTTCCTACATCCTGAATAATGAAAAATGAAAAATACCCATAATTTCTGAGAGCAAAAGTCTTCAATCCCTGTTTTCTACGGAGGAAAATCTCGAAAAGGTAACTACAATAGAGAAAGAGTCATGGAAACATCAAATTAGCAAACTAAAAGGTAATTTAAAAATTGCCTTTTTCAAATTGAAAAGTCTTTTTACAAATCTTCTAATTTTCCTTCTGGGGAATTAAGTCATACATTCTAATTCCTTTATTTTCGTAATTTCAAATCATCAGTCCGATGCCAATTACTGTTGAACATTCCCTTTTGTTTTGAACAGCAGTGTATGTACACTTCTATTTGGCGCCCTGCGCTGTTACGTTTCCATCGATTTTCCATGAGTTTCACGGCTAAAGGAGAAAACTCTTCATAAAATCAATAATAGCACGACTCAAAACTGTTACAAATAAATCATGTGTTTATGAAAGGCCACAAAAATTACTTTAAATGCCTAAAAAAATTGAATTTGTCGCTAAAACTGCGACTAGTAAGTTTACAAGTTGATAGTAAATATCTGTTGATTAATGTCATCGTTTTCAGGTGAAGATCCTAAATATCGGTTAACAGAATTGAATACCCACGGGCCTACGGTTAAAGGATGGCAATCGGCGAAAAACTGCCAATATCCTCAAGAAATTGTAATTCAATTACGACAAAAATGCTACTTGAACAAAATACAAATCTTATCCCACCAGCACATGATAGGTGAATAATTGATTATCGAAATAAATAATTAATTAGCTTTTTTAAAATCTTTGTAGCATCAAAAGTGGAATTCTATTCTAGCAAAGAAGAGGCAGATGATAATATCGAATGGGAATATATCGGTTACGTAACCCTGACCAGTAATGAGAGTACCGAGTTTAAGAGTAGAGAGCTCAAATCTGCAAATTTGCCTAAAATCGGAGCTTATTTTTTAAAGCTTAATTTATGCGAAAACCATAAGAATCCTTTAAATACTTATAATCAGGTAAGATGTATTATTGCATCTACCTATACAAAGTAAATTGTTTTAGGTCAGCATAATAGCTTTAAACGTAATCGGCTTTGAATTAGATATTACTGAAAATACTGAAGAAAATGAATTAAATGAAATAGAAAAGTTGAATGAAATACTCAATAATCCTGAATACGTTTCGCCTTATGACGATTTGGCATTTGAAATGTACGTGTCGCACGAAATTGCTCAGATAATAAAGAGAATGGAAATTAAAAAATATTTAGCAGTAATAAGTAAGTATAAATAAAGCCTTGTATTGCAAATTTCTTGAATTTATTGATTTAGATGAAAGATTCGAGTACGCGATAAAATTAAAAAACGCCATGCTGAAACTGAGAACTGCAGGCGAAAAATTGGGAAAATACGAACTAGAGAAAAGACATGCGATAGAGCTGGAAGATTACGAAAGAGCTAGCAGGAAAAAGGTTCAAATTGAACAGTTCAGAAATGAACTATTCGAAGAGTTTAATATTGATGAGTTGCTAGAAACTAATGATGTAAGCATTTTCTGAGAATTTCTATATTGTTTCAAAGAAAACAATTTTTTTCTAGCAAATTTGTCTGAAAAACGACGAATGTTTTGACCCGTCATCGGCCTCGGACAATTGCAAAAACCTCTTATCGCCAACCATGATTGCCAGAAGGTCCAGTTCGCCAAATCAAATGCATACAAGTCAAGTGGCATCCTCCCCGTTGCACTTGGCAAGATACCAAAGCCCTAAAACTGGATCGCCTTGTACAGGAAGTCCCATAATGAATAGGGGATCGTTGAGGAGGAGAAACAAGTCAGCTGGAGCTATCGTTAAATCTACTTACGAGATGTATGAGGAGAAACCATTGCCAGCATTGAGACAGTAATTATTTTATATGTATAATTATTTATTGAGATTCCAAATGATGCAGGTTAGGAGGCTAATCAAAATTAAATTACCGTGTTCTAGTAATGCAAATATCCCAGAAATAAGGCTTTAATCGACAAAATTATTAAAACATAAAGGTGTTTCACCATATTCTCCCAAGCTTATTTTGAAACATAATCTGTCAATTACTTTGGGAGACTGACGGTTTCTTCTGGGTCGGACTAATATGAATTCATCTCTGGATGTGTCCAAGTGTGAATTTTTCCCCGGATCATCATAGTGTGGATTTTCTTCCGGATCATCATTCTGATTATCAGGTGTTTGTGCATCTTGTTTACAGGAGTTACTCTCTTGTTTTGGTTTGTTAGGAGATTGAAAGGAATTTTCACTATCATCATCGTCATCAAATTCAGGTGCACTTCCACGTGGTGCTAGATATCTTAGATTGACATTATCTTCTCTGCCATCGGGAAAACGAACAAACGCATAATCTGGTTTTGCTTCCAGCAAGTACACATCCACAAACGGGTCGTATTTACTCTTCCTAACATTTTTTTTTCATCCAAACAGGGCCAGGACTTGAAAGCCAGAAAGGAATAGCTTGTCCATTGCTAGATTTACGAGAATGTTTGAACATGCGTTCATGTGGTCTTTGATTTGTTGTAACATACAAGAGAGATCGGATCTTGCATCTTCGAGTACCCTCTCTCATTGTTCTGTTTTCAGACTACGAGACTTCAGTGCGAGCGAAATTGTTTTCCATATTTATTAAATATTTCTACTTGACCATTGCCTTCCGGATTATAAGCAGTCGTTCTGCTAGTGGCTATACCTTTTGAATGAAGATATTCCTTCAGTTCTTTTGACATGAGAGAGCTTCCTGGATCAGAATGTATGTACGAGGGCATTCCGAATATTGAAAATAGATTTGTGAAACATTTAATATCACAGTCTTGCAGTCATATCACTATATCAGGGCAGGCGTAAGCAAAAGGGAACCTTGAGAATTCATCTACAATTGTTAATAAGTAACGATTTGTTGAGGATGTTGGAAGAGGACCTTTAAAATCAATGTTGAGCTTTTCAAATGGTCTGATTGATTTTATTAGTATTTCTTGATTTTTACTGAACGTCGGCTCAAGCTCTCTACAAATAGTACAGGCTGCGGTCATTTTTCGTACATCGACTATGGAAAAAAAAGGTAAATTTCGAGATCAAATCCACTGAAACATTCTAGTTATTCCAGGATGATAAAGTGCATCATGTAACTCATACAATTTATTCTCAGTTGAAGCCCAACATATCCAAAAAAAAAGTATCAGCTACGATATTCTCATTTCCTGGACGGTAGACTATGTGATAGGAATAGCATAAAAGTTTGAGTCTCCAGCGTTGATTTTTTTCATTTTTCATTTTACTACTGTGCTTCGTATCGAACATAAATGAGACCGATCAATTTGAAATGCCTTCCAATAAGAAAATGACGCCATTTTTTCAGAGCTTCTACAATTGCTAGTGCTTCTTTTTCAACTTCTTAGTGCTTTTGTTCACTATATAATTAGCGAGTTTTTGAGAAAAACGCAACTGGTCGTCCAGACTGGCTTAGAATTCCGGCTATTGAATGTTCGGAGGCGTCTGTTTTCACCACAAATTGAATGTTATCTTCAAGTTGTGAAAATCAATGATAGCAGGCTCTTGCATAGGAAAGTTTCTGGTACTAACAATTCTATGAATTTTCTTGGAGAATCTAGGTATCCATTCAGACTAATGAGCGAACATGCCCACAGCTCTTTGAAGTGAAGCTTTATCAGTTGGTACTGGCAAATTTTATAGAAGTTCAAGTCTTGCAGGATCAGGTTTAAGTGTTCGGTTTCCTATAAGATATCCCAGTAGTTTAATTGTCTTCTTGTTCAACAAACTTTTACTTTTATTTATAGTTAGGTTGTACTTTTCAACAGCTGTCAGAAAAGCTGATAGATTTTTATCGTGTTATTCTTAACTTCTTCCACAAATTGTAATATCATCGAGATACGCGTAGATGCCTTCTTGATTCTCCTGATTGATTATTGTATCTAAGACTCTTTGAAAACAAGCTACGCCGTTAGTCACACCAAAAGGGATACGATAAAACTGGTACAGGTTTCCATCAGCTTCAAAAGCAGTGAACTGTTTTTTATCATCTCATATAGGGAACTGATGATACGCACTTTCTAGGTCAATAGTGCTGAAAACGTCGAACTTTGAGACTGCTTTTACCAACCCTTCGATATTAGGTAAAGGATAAGCGTCAAGATAAGAAAACTTGTTGATTGTTTGAGAATAGTCAATAACCATTCTCTTTTTATGATTTTCGTTCTTTGTCACAAGAACTTGTGCTCGCCAGGGAGACGTACTTTATTCAATGATAACTTCTGAAAGAAGCTTTTGTACTTTACTTGAAATAAATTTAGCATCATCATGTGAAAAATTCCCGGTATTACTCAAAACAGTGTATCTTTGTTGCTGCACCTGAGGATTTTCCGCGTTATTAAAATTATTGAAACTTGTTGAAGCTGTTTGGTATACCTCAGAATGTTTTTGAGCAGATTTAAGAAATAAAGCTTGTGATGTTGTTTCATCTAAACTTAGATTACTTTTTTCCAAGAGGCGTTGACGAATTTCATTTGACATTAAGTCGCTAATGAATGCATCTCTTGGAAAGTTCACGATTTTCTCTGGCAGTTACGTTTTTGAAGTTACAATCTTGAATAAACAAAGACCTTCCAAATTTTCTCGGGTTTGGTCTATTGATCAAAACTTTCCTTGTTTTTTCCTCTTCTACTGGGTTATAGGCAACAAATTTAATTTCTTAGAAAGATGATTTAGGTAGGTACCTACCTACCTCATTTTGTCCTCTCTAAAATAATATGACCCTTTACAAAGTCAAGTCAATTAAATTGCAATTATGTTCTATAGTCATTTCACTTTGCATCATATTCATAGTCATTTCAATAATCTGTCAAATACTAAAGTCTCAATTTCCTACATGTACTTACAATTTTTTCCTTACTTTCACCTAATTATTCTAACAAAATAAATCTTTTGTTTACATAGAGCACGCACATAATGTAGAAACTGTTTAAAATTTTTCTTAAACATCTTGATTCGCGACTGAGGACTGACAATACTTTCCTAATGGTTTTGTCTTTTCCCTATTTTTCATGGAAAATATTCGATTTTTTAAATGCGAACTTAAATTGATATCGAGGCGTTGAAAAACAAAATACACTAAAAGCTATTACTCACCATCACTAGTAAGAGGAGTTTCGAATCTATTATTGGAAAATTTGAATAAATACCTACTACAGCTGTATGTCATCCAATTAATTAAGGTTTTTCTTAGTTCACAGACGAATGAATTTCTTCGCGAGTGCCAAGCAGATCCTGTCGATTACAAAAACTCGAAACTAACAGAACGCGAAAAAAAGCAAGCCAATTTGCCGATTCTAGTTTTTGGCACAGACATTGTGGAGAAGTTCTACTCAAAGCACTATTCCGATAAAGAAGAGGGCCTCAATCAGCTGAAAAGCGAACTTTTACAATACGACAACACGAAAATGCACACGGCCAATAAAACGGCCAGAGCCGCAGTTTTTTTGTTGCATCGGGCTTTACGGGATAAAGTTTTTACGGTTTACAATTTGGCCAACGAAGTTATCCGAATGTTTTTTGTACAATTTGTACCTGGAAGGTAACTTATCTAGCAATAAGATTTTTACAAGTTGTATCAAATTGTTTATGTTTTAGGGTTCTACCAGCAGAAGTATCGCGAAGTGTTGACAAACTATTACCAGAATTATTGACAAAATCTGGAGACACTAGCGCTAGAATTCATCATATGGCTGTGCATACTATATTGACGATGGCAGATGTGAAATCTGTAAGGTGAGTATAGAACTCCAACTCCTTTTCACTATTTACTCTTCTCCTTAACCTGCTCTAAGAAAAAAAAAAATAATCAAAACTAACAAACAAATTATAATGTAAAGGTTCATCTATTGTACTCATGTATTAATGCCAATTCAACTTTTTTCATATTCAAGTTTAGCTCAAAGTATCAGCTCAAAACCTTGTTTATAAATACCCAATGAACTTTCCATACATCTGCTGAAAGTAGTAAATCTAGAGACATTCTTTTATTTACCATCGCCTTGCTATCAATAATCTATCGACATATGCATGCTAATTTTTAGTTTAAAAATTTATTAGAAACGCTTATATAGTTTAGTGATACATCATTTTAGGCAAGAAAAACTTTTTTTTAGAGATCTTCATATAATTCCAGTACATTTGAGTAGGCCAGTTAGTAGCAGCACTCATCCTAGATTAGCGCTAAGTAGAGCTGAAATGGTCGAACAGCTCATATTGAATCATGGAATTTCGACTGATAAGCAAAGGTCAGTTTAAGGCCTCGAAAAGCCAAGCATTTTAGAAAAAAACAAGCAATTTATATTATTCTAGTGGTTTAACGTGTAGAACACTATCCGAATTCGGATCGAGCGGTTTACATCATCCAGCTGAGGCTGTACGAAAAGTATCCGAAAGAATTTTGGTGCTTGTATACAAAGTCAATCCGCGCATGGTCAGAAAACAATTACCGCCCGATGACGATATTACCCGAAGAAATTTACTCTACCGACAATTGTTTCACGAATTTGATAATATAGACATGCAGGTTGAAACTACCCCAAAAAATTACTCCTAACAATTAATTGTAGTTATTTTAGCGCAAACGTGAACTTTTAGAAAGAAATCGTGTAATCCAACAATGTCCTAACGGCATAATAAGTCCTGAGCCAAAAGAGCCCATCAGAAACGAAATTAGCAAGTGCATCAGCACAGGAAACATCGAACACATAATTAACAATGACAAGTCCAACAAAAACTATTCCTTATCCAAAAGCCAAAGCGGCGGTAACATCAACATCAACAATGGTACAAGACAAGAGGCTGAAAGTTCTAGTTCGGCCAGTGGCGTTTCGAGTCCGACATATTCCTCCCAACAAAACCATACTGAACGGCACTGTATTTTTTGCAATCAGCCCGAAAAAGTTATACTACTCACTTGTAATTCGATGAATTCGCATTACTGGCGCCACTGTCCCATGTTGGTGAGGTGCAAGTATTGCAGTCAAGTGGTCGAAGTTGCCACTTTGACCGAACATTTGTTGATGGAGTGCGAACAAACCGATAGGTTTATGCAGTGCACTCAATGTACCGAGGCTGTGAATAAGGAGAAATATCATGTGGAACATTTGAGAGAGTGTGTTGGTGAGCATATTTATAAGACAGAGGTATCATTGATTTTTGTTTGCGTGGACATTGTCGTACACAAAACATTTCCTTCAACTTCATACAGTTACATTGGAGTGCTTCAATTTACACTGGTAAGTCTTTGGAGTCCACATTCTAAAATCTTGAAAATGAAGCTTCAAAGCTTCTAGATTTTTAAAATTCTTCAGTCTATAATATTGTGTGTCAAAATATTTAGTCTTAAATCACAGATGCTTTGGAATCTCTCTTGTCAACTGCTTCAAGTCAAAATCCTAGGAATTTTTAGGAAATTTACACTTTTCTCGAACCTGTAAAGACTTCAGTCTTGGACTTTAATCAGCAGAATCTCAACTGTAAATCCTAAAAATAAAAGTCTATGACTCTTGCATTCTACCATTCTCGACATACGGACTACGACTATCTTGGTAAAAAGTGAACTTAAGAGACTTAAGTATTTCTTCACTACAACATAAATATGTACAGACTATTTTATTTAAAATGCCTTCTGTATAAGAAATAAGGTTTGGAATTAAATCAAAGACCACTCAAAAATCAATGGTACCATCTGTTGCCAAAACCTAAATAAGTTCCACTTAACTCAATTGATATTCTTTCAGAACTACCAGAAGGATTTACAAGGTGTCCATTGTGTCATAAAAATTTGGAAAGCAACGATCTTTGTTGGAAAAATCACTTCATGGGATTAAACCTTTGTCAAAAAAATACCAGGGTGAAAAGCTCGACTCCTAAACAGGTTACAATACAAGTTTAGTATTCAATAATTTCAAAATTATCAATTTATCTTAACAATTAATAGTTCTCGTTCTCAATACAAAATTTCATAATACACTAGCCTTGGATTATGTATTACTGAGAAAAATTCATAGATAATTACTATATACTGGTTAACTATATTTTAAATAGATGAAAGTTCACCCTTTAACAAGTTCACATTCTCTCTCTTAATCACTCATCAATATAATCCAAGGTTTAAGGTTTTGATATTCTTCTAACTATTCCGTCCTTTGTTACCTTTACACATTATAAAATTTGGCCATTTTTTAAAAATCAAACTATCGGGTAGAGTAAATGGGCCACCCATTTTTAAATTTTTCATAATCAACACTACACTAGCAATCTGTTTCCACAATAATGCAAAAAAAATTTAGGGTAGCCCTTTTATTTTGCACCAGAGTGTACACATTAGCAAATTAAATTTGCTAGTCGTATCACTGAAGTGTTTTTCTTTTTATTAATAAAATTGTATGTATTTGGAATTTTATTAAAATAAAGTCAAGATATGGCTGTGAATATTTGAAAGGGGGATTTATGGAAACTTATATGGGTAAGCTTTTTGTTTAATGCACTTATTTTCCTTAATCAAATTGCATCAACATGCTACATTGTGTTTTAAAACTTGTAATTATTAAAAAAAAAACCTTATTTTGGTCTTATTTATTTTTCCTCTTCCTCGACGACGTTGGCTGTTGCTGGTTCATCAGGCTTTTCATCATCTGGTTTTTTGAATTTACTTATTTCTGAAAAAAGACATTTGTAACATATTTATAATGAATAGGTTTGCATACTGACCATATTTTGAAATATCTCCTCCCAATAATCGAAGCAAATGTACAGTACTGTGCTGCGTGGTATAACACCTCAAAGAATTAGTACCTCTCCAACCGCTTATAAAAATCCTCATTGGAATTTCCTGATCATTGTCTTTTAATTTTTCAGAGTAAATTAATACACAACTACCTGGACCTAATTTGAAACAATTAATCAAATTTATAGGTAATTGCCAACTCAACTACTTACTTAAATTTTCAACTTGATCCTGAATGTCTTGCGATAGGCTGACTATAGCGGGTGCGTTTTTAGGATCATTATTTGCAAGTAAAACCTTCAAATCTTCATTTGAAATTGTCATTTTCCTGCAATCTCCTATGTAAGGATAAATACTTTCGAGACCGTCATTTGCAATCCTAAAAAATGAGTCAATAACTAATTCTAATTAAAAAAATAGAACATTATTCTCACCTAAATGCACATTTCATATTCTTATTGTCACACCTTACGAAAGCCTTAACGCCAGTGTTGATGAATTTTATAGTATCCTGATTGGTCACAACTAAATCCCTAATAGCGCCTGAAGTGAGGTAAATATTCTTCTTTTTACCTTCCTGGCATCGGGTCAACAAATTTTGTGGGTCAAAATCGCCAGAAATTTCATAGAAATTTTTAATATCGGTCCAAACTGGCTCGTCGTCCTTGAAAAACACGTAGGGGTCTTCTCTGTAGACGTCTTTGCGTCTACGTTTACGTTGATTTTGTGGCAACCTAAATAAAATTATCCTTCATTACTGTAAATTACTTGAAAACAAAAATGGCTCCATAAGGTATTGAGCTATAATTTTGCTTTTTACACTAACATGAACTTTAAAAATAAACAATTACCGTTCATCAAAATCCCTTTTTTTGCTTCCATCATTTACTTCCTCTTCTACAACATCAGTTTCCATCACTGCATCATTTTTCTTTTCCTTTTTAGTCAAAGGAGCCACCTTCTTGAGCACAGCCACAAAAAAGGCTCCTGTGTTTTGTTGATGAGGCAAAATCCTGATACTATAATATTCGGAAAATTATATAAATAATTCTGTGAAACGAAAAAAAAAAAAAAAACATAAACTAACCATTTATTTAAGTGATATTTTCCTTTGTCTGCCTCTTTAGGAGGAAACATTTGTGGCCTTATTGTTGTGTTCCACTTTTCGTCAACTTCTTCAATAGTTTCATAAAACTCGAGATTTCTGCTTGAAACTAGCCAATGTTCCATACCAGGTGAATACTTTAATCCAGGTAAAGAATTGGAAACGTCCACTAATTCCAGAGCCCCATTAGCTTCTAATAACATTCTATGGATAACAGCTTCATTTTCAACTGGATTAATCGAACATGTTGAATAAACTATTCTACCTCCCACAGTTAACAGTTCAGCAGCCCTTCTTAAAATTCTATATTGAATGCTGGAATAAATTCATTACATTTTAAATTTGTTCAATAAACAAAAATCATACCCATGTAGATTTAAAGCATTAGCAGGAGTCCATTTCATCCATATATCAGGATTTTTCCTTAAAGTACCATCACCGGAACATGGAACATCGCACAGAATTCTATCAAATTGAATCTAGAAATTAATAACCATGAAATCTAATATAATAAAAATGGAAAAAAAAAATTACTTGTTGCTTAGATCCATCAGGCAAAGTTTCATACATATTGGGTAACATAGCACTATCATGATTTATTACAGCAACACAAGGCGAATTCAATCGTTTCGCTTGATGCACCAACATGTAGCACCTTTTGTTATCTACATCATTAGCAATGACGTAACCAGAAGGTATAGAAACTTCTTCGTTTTGGTGCAACATTTCCAAGAGTTGAGCGGTTTTTGAACCTGGAGCTGCACACATATCTAGAATCTTCAAATAAAACCAGTTATTTGAAACAAAACATCAAAATCCTTTTATTTACTTTATGGTGCGGTTGTATATCCAACACTAATGGTGGAATCATGCTAACAGTTTCCTGTCTGGAAATAGTGCCGTGTTCGGTTTCACTAATCAAAAAGTTGTGCAGCTTGTAATAAGATTCGAGCCTGCGAATATCTTTTCTGGTTATATCCAATTGCCAGGCTAATTTGTTCGGATACCATGGCAGCGGGTACATGTTTGGAGGTTTCTCGTCACCTTCCTGCTGCACGCACTCCTTTATCAGTTCACCTTCAACTAGAGCCAACATTTTTTTAGCTACACCTTTTGAACCAGTAATTCTAAAGGTAGACGTGAGGTCTGATTTGAGGGCGGTTATAAATTCGTCGAATTCTTCAGGTTTACATACATTTTGGGTCTGAAAAAGTAGGTTGTAATTTGAGTTTGAGTGTTGTAAAAGCGGTATTTACCTTGTAGTACTGTATGAACTTTTCATTTTCTCTTATGATGTCATTGTAAGGCCTGCGGTCCTCTTTTTCTTGTGGAGCTGCATTTCCATTGTCCTAAAAAGGGAGGATATTTTTGTGTAGCGAACTCATGTTAGTACCTAAATTTTATCAAATGAAAATATGCTTTAGTGTTTAAAGATACAAATCTTGATAACAAAGCTTCCAAGATATTAATACAATATAATGCAATTAAAAATATCAATAAAGTAAGCAAATCAACTATAAGATAGTGGAGATGAGAAGTATTCCTCTACAGAGTAAAAAACTTCAGCCAAAAGTAATTTATTAACTTGTTTTTTGAAGTATTCACTCTGTTATTATGTTAGAAAACTCGAGGATAGATCTCATAAAGCTAAGAAAAATAATTTTCAGTGTCTTTACATTTGTAAAATCCTGACAAGATCTCCTAACAAATCCCAATATTCTACCCGCACAGGCTATGAGTTTTTCATAGTGCTCAGAAAATGTTAATTTTGTGTCGAGATACACACCCAGGTCCTTCACAACAGATACCTCCTTTAACAGACTACCACCTAATATGTAAGTCATAGAGAAGTTATTTTTAAGCTTACTAAACCGCAAAACTTGACACTTTTTTGTGTTAAGAGTCTTGCTATTTACAGTACACCATCTATTTATCTTGTTTAGATCATTCTGGATTTTAACTTGATCTTGTTCTGACAGAATCTTGGAGTATATTTTTAGGTCATCAGCAAATAATAAGTATGCAACTTCCAAGAAACAACAAATGTCATTTATGAAGATATTAAACAAAGGGGGACCTAAATGTGACCCTTGTGGAACCCCTGATGTGACAAGAAATATATTAGACACATAACCTTCCATCCTTACTTATTGGTACCGATTCGACAAATAAGATTCTATCCATTTCAATAATGACCCAGCAATACCATACTTTCTCAATTTAAGTAGATATCAAAACAGCATGGCTTACTCTGTCAAAGGCTTTGCTGAAGTCCATATAAATGGCATGAACTTCAGCACCTTCCACCATAGCAGTAGAAATGAAGTTGGTATATGAAAACAGGTTGGTATCAACAGAACGACCAGATTTAAAAACCATGCTGCCTTGATACTGTAATCTTCTCAAAAAAACTGCTAATTTTAAATCAGAATAAGACAGAGAAATTAGAAAGGGTACGGATTCTGGGTGTTCAGCTTGATCCGGGTCTGATTTGGGATGCCCAGATTGATAATATAACAGCTGGGTTAGCAAAATATTTACATGTATATGCAGTATAGTAGAGTGCCGCGAGGCTCGTATCTTGTCACCCCGTAGGCACTTTTTGGCTAACAGGGTTTGACTTCGGAAATTAAATTAAGGACATTTTGTAGATTACTGATTTACTAGTCGTCCCAAATTCGTCCAAGCCTTAAGGTCACAAATCAATTTTTTTTAACTAAGAGCATCCTGCAATTCAGCCCGAAATTCCGTATATCTTGGCAAAAAATTACTAAAGAACATTCTACATATTATGTAATAAAACTAAGTTCTGAAAGACAAAAAATTAATATTGATGTGTTAGTTTGTGGACAGCTAGTAAGGGTAATTTATTATTTCATTTACTTGGGGTTAACGGCTCATCAATAATACATTTTTTAGATGCAATAGATCCTACTTCTTGCGAAAGTAAATCAGAAAGTAAGTAGTTAAGTAACTGTGAACTTGACGCCAAAATTAAATTTAAATCTAAAAAAGAGAATAAAAAAGTTTGTATTTTTTTTGAAAAGTGAGAAAACTTAGTTTGAGCAAAAATCATTTTTGACATTTTTTATTCTTTAGAAGAAAGAGAAAGCATATCAGCTAAAAGAGACAGTGACTTATTAGGTACGTGATAAAGTTTCAATTGTTCAAAATCCTATACAATTTTTCTAGATTTATTATGGCAGAGAAACTAGAATTTTACCTTTCGCTGAAAATTTTATATTTTGGTCAGCAATCATTTTGATTCTCCTTCCTGTATTTTTTTGTGCAAACCTGGTGTGACGGAACTAGCTATTACCCTTTTGTGGACTCTAGTCATTACCGCACCAGGGATGTCAAAAGTTTTTACTTTGACTGACTGTAAAAATTAACCATTAGGTGTTGGATCATTTAAGCCTTGTATTGAACTAGGGGTGCCTTGATTCTCATTTATACAAATAAAACGCTGAAATAGAATAGTTATCAATTTAATTAATAAATGAAGTTAATTCGGTTTAATCAGCAATCAAATCCTATCTAATAATTCCTATTTGGACGTCCAGTCGAACTACAAATTTTATACTAATCTAAAGTAAATAAGCGAGTAAATAAGTATCTTGATTTATAAAAATAGTGAAATTTCATAATAATAATATCAATTATGGTTAAATGTTCGATGAACGAGAACACAAATTAACTAATTAGATTTACGAGAGCACAACACAAATAATTCGTGAACTTCAATCAGCTCACTGTATTCACAAAATGTTTATAATCCTTGAAGGTTCTTTTGTTTATTGAGAGTTAATAATTTGAGCACTTTTCTGCTGAAGTGTGTAAACAATAAGTGCAAGAAAAGTCTATATATATATGCTCAGTTTCTATATACAAATTTACAAATTAATGTTCATTTCACGAGTGTGAAAACCAAATTTCTGTATTAAAGGTTAGAACAAACACTTCAATTTATAGTGCATTTCAACCGAATCGGTATTCAGTATTTATTTATTTATTGTTCGACTGTTTTGAGAAATTGAAACGGTCTTACTTGCTTAATCCAGTTCATACCGGTAAATCCATATAGTGATTATTTATCCATTTATCACTATTCGTAGTAATTTGCACTGTCAGCTAAGGGATTTTCCACTAAGAGAGAGAACACAATGATATACAGAGTTGAAGCCCGTCGAGAGTGAGACAGGAATAACCTTAAACAGGCGTAGTAGAGAATTTTGCTAGGTCCGAGATGACTTGCAACAATTTAGGGGTTAATTACATGAATTGTAATCAATAATATCGTTGATAATATAGGCCATGTCAGGCCTTGAGACACTGGGAGTAGTATTTTACTATAATTCGCGTACTAACGGGGGTTTTCTGGGGTTTTTTTTCCTCTGTAGAGCGTTCAGAGGCGAGAGGGTGCAGAGTCTTTGCTTACTCTTCTGCTTCTTGATTACTACTGTTGTGTACCGTGCGTCGAGTCGACTGCCTTTTTCGGAGCAGGTCGCATAAATCAGGGATGTTGGGTGGCAACTGACCAATCACAACAACAAAATAGATCCATTGCTCATAGGGTAATGAAGAAATCTGTAATTTTACCGATTCAAAAGGGCTGCTGTTGCCAGTTTTACAGGATTCTTTTTTTAGAATATTATTTTTATGATAAATAATAGAAATTGAGATTATATTGATAAACTACAAATAATAACATTTTAAACTTGTTGTGGGTTATTTCCGCAACACCTGGCATTATCTTTTTTTTTGGATTGCTTTTGACAAAAAAGGCATTTATGGACACAACAATTTATTTTCGTGAGTTGGATTTTACATCTTTTATTATAGATTCACTATTATCTTCATAGATATTACTTGCTTTCTAATTATTCAATTATCTTTCAATTTTTCAATATTTTTCTTACTAGTAAAAGTAGAATAGCAGCTTCTATGTCACAATAAACAAAAAGAAAATTTGTAGAATTTTCAAAGAACATAGACTCTCACGTAAGTGATTCTCTATCCCCTCTTTAGCTGATATTTCCCTTTCTTCTAAAGAGTTTAAAAATGTCAAAAATGATTTTTCCTACGACTGCCTCTGAAAATGGAGTTTTTCGCACGCTAGGCAACCTCTGAAATTAGAGTTTTTCGCACAGCGTGCGAAAAAGTTTTTCACACGCTTTAAGTTTTCTAACAAATGAAAATTACATATTTGGTTGTTTTATTTTGCAGTTGTAGGAAAAGCATTGTAAAAAACTCGTTTGAAAACCTTTTTTCACACTTGCTCGACTTGTAGAACTCGCCTACGGCTCGGTCCAACAAACAAAAAAGTCGTTTTCAAAACTTGTTGTTTAAATAACTATTTGCGACCGGGTTACTAAGTTTTCGCACTTTTTATAAGTTAATACTTTTATAAAAAAACATCAAACTCAAGAAAAAATGCCAGAGTCTTTTAATACACACACCTTACAAATAAGCGCGAAAAGACTATGGGAACTTATTACTTATATTGAGAACGCTCGGAGAATCAAATTCTACGATGGAATTAATAGGCAATATTCGCGTATTCCGAGCTTCCGAGTTTAAAGTTAAATAAGCCCAAGAGGAGCTCCGGCAGCGCGCTGCTGCAGCGGGACGAGAGTGAGTTATACATCATCTTAAAAATTATTTCATATCTCAGTTATACTCAACTCTAAAAATTTGAAGTTAGTTTTAAAAAGGTTGCAAGATCATAGCGCTTGTTTAGAGTAAGTTTTTTTAATATCTGGAATTGTTTTCGAGATATCGCAGGTTTAACCCAAAATGCCGTTAAAAATTATCACTTTTTTAGTGTTACAAAACGGAGATAATTCGACTTTTATCTTCGCTCAGCCCATAAGCGCCAATGTTAATTTAAATTTTCAATAATTAATTAAAAATATAATTTCTACAGGAAATTTAGTAATTTTTTGCCAAGATTAAGCTTGCACACTCTAGTTCGATAAGGTCGAATCTTTGAAAATCTAGTACCATTAATTTAGTGCTAATTTAGTACATTTATGTCACGCCTAAAAAACTAACAATGATGTATTTATTACAGAATAACCACAAAAAAGTGCTAACTTAAGACTTGAATCAGCACACATAGATCGAATCGACCACACAAGAACGGAATTAGCATGCACATATTTAGTGCTAATTTAGTACTTCAAAAACGACGACCCGAAACGAACTAGTATCACATCAGCACAGAGCTAACCCAAAATAACCCAAACTAACCCAAACTCACGTCCGAAATTAGCACTAAAAGTGTGCTAATTTAGTACTCTAGTTTCATCGTGTCATTGGTGATAATGTTTGTTAACTTAAACACTAAGCCAGCACACAAGTGCTAGCCTGTGCTGATGTGATACTAATTCGTTTCGGGTCGTCATTTCTGAAGTACTAAATTAGCACTAAATATGTGCATGCGAATTCCGTTCTCGCGCGGTCGATTCTATCTATGTGTGTTGATTCAAGTCTTAACTTAGCACTTTTTTGTGGTTATTTTGTAATAAATACATCATTGTTAGTTTTTTAGGCGTGACATGAATGTACTAAATTAGCACTAAATATGAGGTACTAGATTTTCAAAGATTCGACCTTATCCAACTAGAGTGTGCCAGCTTAATCTTAAGCTGGCACACATGCACGTAATTTTTTTGAAAGTAGAGCTATAATTTTTTTTTTCTTACTAAATTAGCACTAAATAGGCCCAAATTTAGTACTCTAGTTTTTCTGATGTGTGCTATTTTCGTTGTGCTAATTTAGGGAACCATAAAAAAAGCTTTAGCCTGTTTCATTCGACAATGACTGGCATGCAGCCCAATCTAAGATAGGCTTTGGTCTGCAAAGAAAAGCTATACCTACTCGACATCAAAATGACATAGTGTCGGGGTATTGTAGACTAAAAAGGTGTCAGAACGACCCTAGGTACCTAGCCAATAAATTTTTCAACAAACTTCCTAATACAATAAAGAACCTACCACCAAGGCAGTTTAAAAATATGATTGAGGAATATTTAATTTATATGTTTTGATGAATATTTTAATTGTGTCTTAATTATTGCTATTTATATTCATGTTATTTATTGTTCTTGTTGGTTATTTTTATACAATGTGTCATTAATCGTTCTGTTTGACATGGTGTAAACATTTACTTGTATTGTCCAAGCACTGCAAAGTGCTCCAACTTTCCCCATAACAGCTTATGTCGCACTTTATCAAAGGCTTTCCCTCAGGCTTTCTCATAGTCCAAGAAAATCAAGTCTGTGGGTTCGGCATTTTAATGATTTTCTGTCCAGTCATTAAACATTTAAGCAAGTTGGTAGTTAATTGTCCAGCAGTTTATATACCTGGCAGTCTTCTTAATTCTATACACTTCTGCCTAACCTCTGCCATTTGTTGACCAATGGAATCATTGCAATTTTGTAGCAAAATTGTTGTAAAATTGTCAGGTGCTGGACTTGAGTTTCTTTTCATGTTTTTCAATGCTTCTTTGACCTTTTTTTCTGTGACCTGTATACTGTCAATTGAGTTATGCAGAGAAAAGGTAAGTTATGCAGTCGGGTGTGTGCAGGGCATTGAGGGACAAAGTTAGGTTTTTAAACAAGAAGTGTTAATTGGTAAGATATTTGTAATGTGTTTGACTTTTAACTGTACCAGGTGTCCCACTAAGGTCGGCCAGGTACGATATTATGGAAACCATAGACCTTACGGCTTCGGGATTTTTTTTTTCTTCACTAAATCGGCCAAGAGAAATTGATGGAAATTATTTTCAAGTTTCTAGGACAACCGCTAGGGGGCGCAATTACGATGATATAGCTAAAAATTCAACTTTTCTCAAGAAATCGCTATCTTAAGATACTGTTTTAACAACAGAAATCAAAAGTTCATTAATTTTTGCGCCAGTTTGGTTATTAGGCTTTTTTTCGTATCTTCAGTAATAAGGGTGGGGGAAGCTGGTGAAATTTTTTTTTTAGAAATTGCTGTATCTTCCATACCTCTCATTCAATTTGGGTTTATTTGGAAGAGAATTTCATTGTTATTAAGAACACCACTTCGTTCGAGGGCGATAGTTCCTACCGCGTCTTCTAGAGGGCGCTGTTTATTCAAGATCCAGTTTTTTCTAATTTTCATGAAAAATCCAAATGGCATAATATTATTTTTGTATTGCTGTGCTTAAAGCGCAAAAAAAATATCTACATTTTGGCGCAAACCGCAATTCAATATCTGCATTCATTTTCAAGTTATGTAAGGTTTATGGTCTCCATAATATCGTACCTGGCCGACCTTAGTGGGACACCCTGTATAACTCTATCTACCTCGTTTATCGAGTTGTTTATGTATGCTATGCAATTTTTATTTAGATAGATAGATTTATTAAGACAATAAGCACTGCTGCTGTACGTCATCAATTACATGTAAAAAAAATACAATTAAAAAGCAACATTAAAATGAAATAAATAAATTAAAAAAAGTATATAAACACAAGTTACAATATAAAAAATATACAAAACACTAACAAATTTAAACAAACTAGATAAAGTCCTTAGGTAACATTGTATTCGTCATGTATTCGTTGAAACTATAATTGGCCCTTCCTTCCAAGTAAATTCTGACTGACCGCTCGAACTTTTTTTGTTGTCTGATTTCTTTGACTTGCGGTGGTAGCTTATTATAGAACAGTTTTCCCATGTGTAGGAATGTATTTTTGGTCAGGGTAAGGCGGGATGAAGGAGTCTGGAGGTCATTCATTTGGCGAGTTCTATATATATTAAAAACTCTAGGTTTAAGGATTACCTACTGGCTTTGTCAGTGGAATTCTTTTTTGTGAAAATAAAGCATATTTTGATTTGATGGTCTGGAAGGAAGAAGTTGCTCATGAAGAAAAATGATAAGGGATCAGGGATTGTTTGTTGAAGGATGTTGCCCTCTAGAAGTTTGGCAATATTGCAGTAATATGAGTTAAATTCATATCCATCTCAGCCAAAACCACCTGCTCAGATTTTTTCCCCTCAAGCCATTCACAATATTGCAGATCTCTAACTATTGTTTGTAGATGAAAATCTATTGTTGTAGTAAGTGATTATTGCTAATTTAATTGTATTTCGGAATATTATTGACCTATATTTATTAAAATACGAGTTAAAATATGTTACAACTTTGTTAGTTATTGCAAATTTTCTGATCCAGTGTAGGCACTTCAAGTTATTGAAACAAATACTTTTTAACGGCCAATTTCATAATAGAGAATTAAAAGTTACTTTAACTAAAGGGACTGGATGCTAGTCCGATAATCGGAATAATAGTGTTTTTGTTTCTATTCCGATTATCGGGTTACTAGTTTATTTTGTTATTGTTCCGCAACATGTTCACTTATTATTTATGGACTAATAGCATTTACTCATATTATTCCGAACATTTTTATGTTTATAGAAAAAAGTAAAAAGTAGTTGGCGCGGTAGTTGGAGTTTGACAGGTTGTTGGATTGCCTATTTGCCTAATTAGAGACCAAAAATTCCATTGTAGCACAATGTTGAGAAACAACCCCTATAGCTAAGGGCGCGGAAGAGGAAAGTTTCTGAATCCGGTGTTTTTAAACTAAGAACACCCGGCCCTCTTGAACAATCCTGAAAAAATCAGCTTGCCCCTTTTTTTTCACACCTTCCGAAAATACAATTATCTTTGACTGATATTGTGATTCAAGAAGTATTGTCTTTACTGTATAATTATGTATAGGTACTGACCTTGCTTTTCGCATGCCTTTGCTAAGTGATTTAAATATTTTACCACCCTGATGGCAAGTATATTCTAATAGGTAGTAGGTATACCAATTCTGCCTTAGCCTGTTGGCATTTTTGGGACAACTTTTTGCAATTTTTTAGCATCTCTTTTATATAGGGATTTAGTAACTCCTTTTCAACTGTCTTTATGTAAGACTACTTTATTATAAGAATTGAAACTTTTCCCATGTTCTAACAGATTTTTCCTACGAGCGTGCGCAAAGTAGTACTTTTCCGCACGCATTTCCGGGCTCAAAGTTACACTTTTCCGCACTCAGTGCGGATACAGGCCTTATCCGCACTGAGTGCCGAAAAGTAATTATAATTGTCAAGCAACAATAAGTGCACCTGTCGACTTTGACACATGATGACAAATTTTTCCTCTGTTTCTATATCAGCCAACATCTATACAAACACCAAATATAAATTAACTTTGACACATTGTCAGATTTGTTCTCTATTTATATGCAAAAATCTACAAACTTTCTCATCAAATTTAAACACTTTAAGATGAACAGCTCTGACGAGGATTTTCTGTTATTTTTTTTTGTCATGTAATTTTTTGAGGAACCTATATGCATTCCTTTCAAGTTAATTAAAAATAATTAAACAAATTATCGTTTTTTTTTAAATTTTTGTTATTACCTACCTGAAATGAAACTCGTAGGAAAAATTTTGTTCCTAACACGTGCGCAAAGTGTCTTTTCCGCACGCAAACACGTATCCGAACTCCGCTTCGCGTCGTTCGTATAACTGTGTTTGCGTGCGGAAAAGTAACACTTTGCGCACTTGTTAGGAAAATAACTATTTTGATTCCATATAGTGTTGTAATAATTCGAGTAATAATTCTAATTCTACTCTCTTAATACTTGCACTGATATTTACAAATCACCTGACTAGGTATCACCATATAACATAAATTAAGGCCAAGGGAACCTTTAACCTATTTCAAACCATAAATAATTTTCGGAATAATATGAGTAAATCCTAATAGTCCGAAAATAATATGTTAAGTAATAGGTAAATTCTTAAATTATTTTGCGGAATAATAACAAAAGAAACTAATAGCCCGATCATCGGAATAGAAACAAAAACACTATCATTCCGATTATCGGACAAGCATCCAGTCCCTTAACTAAATAGACTTTTAGGATAGGATTTTTCAACTTGAAATGGAGCTTTAAATTTAAAGTTTACTTTAAGTTGATTATGAAATTAAAGCCCCTGGTAATTCATGGTTTTCTTCTTCTGGGCTTTAAATTTACAATGGGGAAGGTGATATTAAAAATATCAAGAAGCGTCAGGTGAAGTGAGTGCAGAACAGAGAATCACCGTCCCCCAGAACAATGTTCCAGTGCATACATTGCATGGAATTGTCGCGAAATGTTAGTCTAGAATAGAAAACGGAGAATGGAAACCGGAAGGCGTTAAAAAGGATTGATTAAGTCGATTATAATGATGATTTTGATTAAATTTGTGTTGTAGTTACCTTATTTCTTCTTTGATGGCTGAAAAAATGGTTTTTGCGAAAACCAGCCTTGCGTCGACCCATAATATTAACTAACAATTTTATACGATGTTCAACTGACCTAATTATTGAAAAAGAACCGTTCAATTTGATCATAAACTGTTAAAAAAGGCCTCCAAAAAAATTGTTAAGAAAATTTGAACACTGATTTTACAAAAGTGAGGTTAGGAAATTGTAATGTAAATGTAAGCACGTGTCTGTAATCGTTTTACATGCGCGCAACTATCTTTGTCCTTTTCTCTCATGCATTAGAGGAACAGCAGGTATGAACTCTCGCCTTTTTCAAGTATTTTTGTTTTCATTGATGGAGTTTCTCTACAAAGCTGAAATAGAAAAAGTAATGGAATATTTTAATAATTATTATAAAACCAAATAAATAAAATCAAACCCAGAGCACAGGTGTGGTGTGACCCCGGTAGACAGCTCTTCAATTAAAATTGAAAACGCTACGCTTCCAATCATCGTCGTCTGTCAGTTGTCAGTCAATGAAAGTGTCTTTACTTTAAACGTCAAAAATTAATTTGGTTTTTGAAGAGTGAGATTTTTTGAGAAGTGTGTGGCTGTGCGAAAAAAAAAGGTAAAATCCACAAAAAAACGCATTCCTGCAACAAAAAATAATCGAAATTCCTTAAATTGTAAGTGTATTCTGCAGTCTCGATTTCGTAGTTGAACGCACAAGGTTTTTAGTGGCAATTTTGCTTTAAAACTTCAACCCAAACCTCAAAACTTTTGTGTGGCCCCACAAGGCTTCTATTTTCAACCGAAAAAATGCCTGCAGAATATGCCAATTGGTATTTTATTAACTATTTATTTTTAACTTTTCCATATTTAATAAGTACTTCAACAGTTTGCTTACATAATACCCCTTAGAAAAAAAAAATCACTTAGCACCTATTTCTATTTAGTTTCAGGAGTGACAATTTCTTTACAAAAATGACGGATATGGAATCCCCCAAGAAGAATAACGATTGTTATTTTTATTATTACTCCACATGCTCAAAGGTAAGATCTTACACGCAATAATTAAAATGGTATAACTGTACCATATGGAAATTCAAATAATAAACTACCTAACATGTGCTTTATTTGGAAATTCATTATCAATGCACCCAAATTATGGGACACTCTATATTGAGAATTTGATGATTTATAAATATTCTATTTGATTTTTTATTCCAGGGTGATAGTTGTGGTTTCCGACACGAACCATCAGCATTAGGCTGTGAAACCATGTGCTCCTTCTGGAAGGAAGGCAAATGCTTAAATATCCATTGCAACTTTCGACACATGGAACTTAGAGTGAGAACACCAACAGCAAGTTTGTCAACAGCTTTTAACTTATTTCTTCTTCTAGAAAAACCGTAAAGTTATTCCGTGCTATTGGGAGGCGCAACCTGGCGGTTGTTTGAAGCCGCACTGTCCTTTTATGCATCAAACCGATCCGCCTGTCTCAAGCAATGATGGAAAAATTAGTAAGTATGGAAATTTGTTTATATAATATACAGAGCTTCGAAATCTTTATTTTGGTGTATGTGAAATTGATCAACAAAGTCTTCTATGTCACAGGTCATCATTGAAAATTTCAGTTTTTTATCTACAATAGAAAAAAAGTTGTGATATTTCAAAGTTTGCAAAAATCTAAATCATCGACCTTAGTAAGTACTAAAATGTTGAAATTTTAAAATTTTTGTTGAAATTTTGTGTTTAACAGATCATTTGGGACCCCCCAAACTCCATACACCAAATTATTCTGAACTTTGAAGCCAAAGTCTTTGAAAAAAGGATGTCAGGAAATTGAATAATTGATAAACTCACCTCAAATTGCTTGACCCGATTTTTTCTCAGGAACTATAATTTCAAATGAGCTGAAATTTTCAGGGATTGTAGTTCCTTTATTGAGGTAAATTTCAGTGAAAATTTCAGCTTTCTATCTATAATAGAAAAAAAGTTATGACCTTTCAAAGTTTTCCAAAATCTTACTAAAACGATGAAATTTCAATTTTTTTTTGTTGAGATTTTGTATCCTAATAGTCAATCAACATACCCCAAACTCCATAAACTAAATTATTCTCAGATTTTAAGCCGAAATCTATGAAAAAAAGGCACTCATAAAAATTGAAAAATTGATAAATCACCCCAAATTGTTTAACACGATTTTATCTCAGGAACTATAAGTGCAAATGTGATGAAATTTTCAGAGATTGTAGTCCTCTACTAGGATAAGAATCGCTAAAAATTTCAACTTTCTATCTGTAATAGAAAAAAGTTATGACTTTTCAAAGTTTTCAAAAATTTAAATCATAAGGTAGCCATCTTAGTACTAAAATGTTGAAATTTCAAATTTTTTTATGTTGAGATTTGGGGTTTAAATAATCATCTGGGATCCCTCAAGTTCCATAAACTAAATTATATTGAGATTTGAAGCCAAAATCTATGAAAAAAGGACGTCAGGAAATTGAATAATTGATAAATTCACCCCAAATTGCTTAACGCGATTTTATTTCAGGAACTATAAGTCCAAATAAGCTGAAATTTTCAGGAATCGTAGTCCTCTACTAGGATAAGAATCGCTGAAAATCTCAGCTTTCTATCTTTAATAGAAAAAAAGCTATGACTTTTCAAAGTTTTCGAAAATCTAAATCATAAAGTAGCCACCTTAGTACTAAAATGATGAAATTTCAATTTTTTTTATTTTGAGATATTGTGTTTAAATAATCATCTGGGATCCCCGAAACTCCATGCACTAAATTATATTGAGATTTGAAGCCGAAATCTTTGAAAAAAGAATGTCAGGAAATTGAATAATGAATAATTGATAAATTCACCCCAAATTGCTTAACGCGATTTTATCTCAGGAACTATAAGTCCAATTGAGTTGAAATTTTCAGGGATCGCACGGGGGATCGTAGTCCTCTACTAGGATAAGAATCACTGAAAATCTCAGCTTTCTATCTATAATAGAAAAAAGTTATGATTTTTCAATGTTTGGTACCTTATTTTGAAATGTATTGGAAAATTTCCTTTTTGTATCAGGCGCTGTTATTGAAAATTTCTTATTCCAATTTTTAGATTTTTGTCACAAAAATGCTTCAATTTTTGTTATAAGTACTGGGTGTTAAGCTATAAAGTACCACCACCTGTATCTTCTTTATGTACGATCAAAAATAAAAAAGTTACAGGTGGTGGTACTTTAAAACTTGACACCCTGTACTCGTCTAAATCTTGACTCCATACTAGTTAAAAAAGTTTAAACATCTGGTAAAGTAAACAAACATTGATCATTTGGAACTATAGTATGGGAGCCATCAGCACCAAGTCATAACCCTGAGTTTTGAGGTATTTCAGCTGAATTAAGTCAGTGAAAATATTTTTAGCCTATAGTCATTTTGCACAGTAGTTGATTGGAATATTCCACTGAACTTGGTGCATTGATGATTTGATCCACTCAGAATGTCTAACAGTCTAAATTGCTCACAATGAACGAAATTTGCTATTTTATAGCTATCACAAAAATCAAGGAACTCAAAGTAGGGATGCGCACGATGTATCGATGTTTCAAAAACATCGATTTTCTTATTTCGATGTTCGATGTTTATATCGATGTTTTTTTATTCGATATTATTAGAGAACATCGATATTTTTTTGCGATGTTTTTTCGATGTTTTCTTCTAAATACTGCACCAGTACTTTCAGTCCCTTAGCAAAATTTAATGAAAATCTATTAGTTGAACATTGGGAAGAAATAAAGAGTGTATATCTGCAACTATCAAAGATAGCTTCAAAATAATTGAGCGTTGTAGCAGCTTCGGTTCCATATGGGAGACTATTTTCAAATGCAGGACAAATTTTGACACAACACAAGAATTATATGGAAAAGGAAAAAAATAGTCAAAATTGCTATTCTTGAATAATAATTGTGATTCAAATATGATTGTTACTCGGTATTCATATCATTTAAGTCAAGTATCTAGCTAGATTTACTCCCTATAGTGCTTAGTTCTTGCTATTGTTTGCTTTCAAATGTACTTTTTCTTCATTATAAATCGTATATTCATTACGTGCATGCATATTATATTAAAAATACATAATATTAAGTAGGTTAAGTAAAAATGATATTCTATTTATTACAGTTTAATTTTTTTACCATATTTTCAAAAACATCGATGTTTAGAAACATCGATATTTTCAAGCCGATGTTTTTATAACATCGATTGTGCATATTCGATGTATCATTTGATGTCAACATCGATGTTTTCAAAATTTTGCGCATCCCTAACTCAAAGAGCTGTTTGGTTGCTCATGTAACCTATGTAAGAAGGTTATTTGTAGAAAATGCTCATCCATATAAGCCAGTGAAATCAGAGCTGTAACTTTTCAATCAAAGGTGCTAAGCATTTTCTATGTGAAGCTGGAAAAGGAGTTAAAAGTGACACGCTTGTGGATTTTGAAAATTTTGAAAAAAAATGTGTCCAAGAACACAAGGAATTAAAAGGATCGCACAGCTAAATAAAATCTCAATATCAAAGAACATCCACATATTTTAAGGAACTAGAAAAAACCCTTGAAAAGGTCACTACAAAACAAATAGATGACCTGAAAATATTCATCAATGGAAAGTTTGCTGATTCTATACAGCAGCAAACTCACCTGAAAGATGCAAGCCATCCAAATGGAGCCAGCAGTATCCGAACTTAGAGACAGAGAAGATAGATCTGAAAACAGTAAAAACATGCTGATTGTCGGAACCCCAGAGATAAATGCAGAAAACAGAGATCAAAGGTTGAATCACGAAAAGGCCGCAATCTTGGAAGTTCTGAAGAAGTTAGAAAATGATACCGAAAATATTGAATTCACATTCTACAGATTGGGTAGATATGTACCTGATAGAGTTCGACCAATTAAGGTGATATTTACATCAAGAGAAGTAGCTCACAAATTTCTAAAACAAAAGCGTAAACTCTCAAATGAAAATTACTACATAAAGCTTGACCAAACTGTGCCGCAGAGGAAATATCCAAAGCAAGTCTATGAAGAGCTAAACGAAAGGAAAAAAAGAGCGGAAGATGATCTTGATGATGATTAAGTATTTTAATGGTACTTCCAGAATAACCAAAGTTAAACAAAGCCATCCAAAAAACTGAACACAAATGTATCTGAAGTATTGCTCCTATATACCTATTCTGTCTAAGTTTGATGAATTCTACTCTGGAAGTCTGCGTAAACAACCAGTAACAGGGTCCTTGCTACACAAGGACGTTCCTGATGCAATGGTAGGCATACCAAATTATTTTTTATTTCAAAAAAACAGAAAAAACGGGAAAGGGGGTGGAGTTATAATTTATGTATGTGAAAGCATTGCAGGTGTCAAACCCACAGTAGAATTAAACCAGAGATTCCAACCGCCTGATGGTATTGATGCGATTTTATTGGATATCACACTCACAACACTTAAGCTCTCTTTAGCATGCATATACAAACCACAAGACATACCTATAGAAACAAACAGAGAACTTTTGGAGTAACTTAAACAACTTTAATCATAGACAAATAGACTGGAAAACTCTTTCACTAAACCAGCACCATAGTTCCTAAATTTTTATGTAGAGAACGATGTTAAATAGATAATAGATTTCAACACCAGAATTAGAAACGATCAACAATCACTTCTTGATTTTTTACTGGTAAGTGATAGGAAATTATTTAGACAAACTAACCCCACAAATCCAATTGGTCGCAGTAATCATGTTGTAGTGTACGCTGTAGCGCAGATAAACACAAAACCAAGTTCAAGGAAGAAAATCAGGAAACGTAATTTTTGGAAGGCCAATTACGACAATATAAACCAAGCAATATCCGAAACAACGTTGCCATACAACATGGACACATGTACGTGATATAAAAGACATAGATATTATCGAACAAATCCAAAGGAGAATCACTAAAGATACCTCCAGAAGTGAGCCACCTACCATACCGTGAACGCCTTGAAATATTCGGACTGAGTACATTAAGAGAAACGCGAGAAAGAGGTGATCTCATTGAAATCTTCAAAGTACTAAGAGGCTATTTCAGCCCAAAAATCGATCTGGCACTCTCCCAAATTTTCCATACACAAAGAAACTTAACAAAGAAAGATCTGCTCTGCTTTTGAGAAAGAATTTTTTGAGCAATAGAGTTGTATACAGATGGAACAGCCTTCAGAATTCAGGAGAATACCTTCAAGAACGCGCTGCGCGCTGGATAAAGAAATGGAAAACTCAAGAAATGAACGTACCCACTACATGTAACCTCAATCCCTAATGCCTAAATATCGCCAGTGTATAAAGATAATCCAACTGAACTCACACGTAAAAAAAAAAAACATTATATAATTGGAATAGGCCCATCGGTTTAGACTGCTTTATATTGCTCACAATAAATATGTATCGTTGAATGTTACAAAATTGAAATTATTAAGGGATTTTCTTGTTATTTTTCCAGATAAGTCTGAACCGAGTGCCCTTCTTCCAGAAAATTGCACCCAAGCCGGCAACTACTCATCTTCCGTTGACAGCATCGTTGTCAATTTCGAAGAAGGTATGCAACTTGTTAAATAGCTCAATTAGTTAAGGTTTTTGTCTACCCCTTTTTACCCTGTTGGTGATTCTTTTTTTTTTTTTTTGACGAAGAGATTTTTTTAATTTTTATTATAATTATTATGGAATTTATTATGATAATTTTGTTAGTTAATATATTATTATTGCTTATCCAATATTTATTGTTATAATAATATGTATCATGATAGATAGAGAGGGTTTTATTTTTCTTTATTATTAAAGCTTATAGCTTAAATTTTTATTTTAATTAGTATTTAGAATATACATAGGTAGGGTGCATTCTTGACTTATTTTTGCTACTAATAATAATATTAATTTGGGGTGTAAAATACGTCTATTGGTCTAAAAGCTATTTTTTTTCTTTATTTTGGACAAGTAGACAAACTAAACTATTTTTATAAATTCAAAAATTTTCTTTTATGCCCCCTGTTATCTGTATTACCAAAATCGACTAGTCATAGAAGTACCATAATATGATACCGTTCACGTTTTAAATATTTTAATTTATTTGGTTGGGGTTGCACATTTTTATTGTTAATTAATTATCACAAAGAGATTATTTTTTATTTTGGTATTTGAAATGTGAACTTATTAACATAATAAAGCGTGGGTTGAATTATTAATTGTGACTATGAAATTAATATTTTAATTTTAGCCACACATTGCTCTGTAGCAACATATTGTTATTTCTCTATTGAGCCTTAAATAACTAACTATTAAAAAAAAAACATACATATTTAATATCATCATAAGCTGTATTCTAACAGGGAATCAGTCGTTTGGCTGTGCCTGGATTCCTTGTTGGCCTTATAATTGTTTAAATTTGTCTTTTTATCGGACAGCTATTAGAAGATCTGTATATTAATTTTTTTAATGTATTTACGTTAATTAAAAATCATATTAAATAAACTAGTTTTTGATTTTCATACATTTGTTCTCGTTCTCTACAAGAATGCACCTTTTTTTTGTATTGTGTCGGGTTATTATAAATTTAGGTGTGTTCTTGTAGAGTCCGACAATGAAACAAGTCCAACGATGTTTCCTGTTCCTGTCGCGTCTAAAGTGAAGACTCTCGAGGAAATCAAATTAGAAAAAATTGCTGCAGCTTGTGCTGCTTACTATTCATATCCTGGTAAGTATAATTCAATCAATCAATCAATCAATCAAAATATACTTTAGTGTCAGAAGATAAATTTCATTGACAAAGCATGAACTTAAATAATGTGCAAGTAATTAAAAATTATCGGGTTATAAAAAAAAAAAAGGTTATTGAGAGCAGTGTCCTTCAATATATCTGGTCACCACCGTTGGTCAAGCTTCAAATAATTTAACTCAATCCTTATCTGATTTACCTGCAACTAGTTGGATAACCAGTATAGGTGACCACCAATTGTGAAACTGGGCCTTATTCTTTGAGAACTTCTAGAGTTCTAAAAACAAAATTTACTCAATTTATCATTCACAAACGCATTATTCCTTGAAGAAAAACCTTACTTAGTTAATTTTCATCCGATTTCAATGTAATTAATCTCTAATTAAAGCCAATTAATTTATCTACAAACCCGTTAATTAGGATTTCAATTTAGATTCAACAGTTTTGCAGCTGAGAAGGTTCAAAATTGAAATTATCCAACATTGTAAATTTTTCAAAAATTACACTGAGACAGTTTTTCCTCACAGGTCCGTCAATTTTCATCTGATTTTAACATAATTAAGATCCAATTAAAGCCAAGTAAATTCTCTCCAAACCTGTTAATCAGGATTTCAATTTAGTTCCAACAGTTTTCCAGCTGAGAAGGTTCAAAATTGAATTGATTTGATTGATTGATTTTCGCCTCACAATTCCGTTAATCTTTATCTTATTACAGATGAAGAGATGCCCGAGTACAGTAGCTCTCACCAACAAACGCCTACACTATCCAACGACGATTTGCGACAAAGAATTTTACAAAAAGTAAAAGCCAAAGACAACTCCCAAGAACAAAAACTCAGCCGGAAGCAATTAGCGTACATTTTAGGCGATAGCTCGTTGAGCAAAAAAAAACGAGCCGATTCGGACCCTTCGGACAAATACCCGCCTCAAAAAAAACGAAAAACTTTACCAACAACAGAAGTAGAAAATAAGGAAATTAAAATAAAAACTTTACAAGAAATTCGTGCGGAGAGACAACGAGAAACTAAAACGAACCAACAGGAAACCAAAACGAACGAAATTGATGATTCTGAAGTGACTAGCACAAGTAATGAAGACAATGAACAACGAAAAGTTGAAATAAAACCGCTCAGAAGGCTTAATTTAAGGAAAATTATAGTAAATAAGCCTGCACCGGAAGCAATAAGTGAAAATGTTGAAAGTACATCTAAAAACATAGAAAATATTGAAAGTGATGATAAGCCGCCAAAATTAGAGAAGTCTTTATCGAATAAAACTGTTGAGGAATCTTTGCTTTTGCTGGACGATGATATGGATGAAGAAGAAAATAATGATTTTAATTTATCAGTGAAATCTGAGGATGATCTTTTTAAGGAAATTGATCATTTGCTAAAAAACTAAGAAGAAATTTATTAGAAACTTAAGAGAAAAAAATACTTATTTTAATTATCTAATAAACTGTTTAATTTATTAATCGAAATCTTTTTACTATGTAAAAGGCTTTGGTAAAAGGCCACTTTGACATTTTTCAAAAACATATATTTATTCACAACTGTCAACTGATCTTTTCGCGATTTCTTTACTTAGCCCTAGGCAACTCTATATTATAGTCTGTACTGCCTAATGACCATTATGTATTGTTTACTTAATCTTCTCTGACTGTAGACTAGCTATACACGCAGGACCAGGGCTGGGATCACGACAAGTAGCATTCTACTTTCATGACGTCACCCGCGAACTATTTATCGCCTACAGTACAGGCCATCATGACGGTTGCTAGGCAACCTGACATCATGAAAGTAGAATTCTACTCGTCGTGATCCCAGCCCAGGCTACTGGACACATAGGCTTCAATGGGACCAATTGACTGATAGCCATTTTACTGCAGGATCGTCACGGTGGATCATTGATCGTCCCTGAACGGGGTACAAGCTAATTCGTCTTATCACTCCCTGTGTCTAGTAGGTTGGTCCGGTCTGTATATACTATATCTCTAGTTGATTGTAATTTGTTTAAATAGTTTCAGTTCCCGCATTTGATCACAATGAACCGGCGTGATTTTGATGCGCTGACCTAAATCCTCCCGCTATTTTTAAGGAATTTATTTGTTCGTTCGACCGAAGATGTCGTAATTTCCTTGATTATTTGGGTCAACGGATGTTGTAAGAATATGTGAGACCGCATCTTATGGGTTCATGTTCACATTAGTTCTTTTCACGTGGCTCCGGTTTAACTAACCGGGTTACAAAACGGTTAGAGAAATGACATACCGTTTTCTAACCCGGTTACAAAGTGACGTGATGGATACCTACAACTCGAATGGCATGTAATATTGACAGTTGAATTGAAGCGGGCGCTTCTGTACTTGGAGCTATTTAAATTTTGGCGCGTAAATAATTGATTGTAATTTTAACCCCAAAAGTTAAGTCTGATGTGTGGTTTCAAAACAAGCTGACGCTGACACTTTTAAAAATATTCTCTAGGGTCACTGAATGCTTTGGAAGATATTTTAACTTATTCATTGTTCATATTGTAGTCATCTTTCTTTCTACTCAATTTAAACGGATTAAAACTATTGACATTTACGGCCAAAATTTGAAGCACTCCAAGTTCACTCGCGCCCTCTACAAAATTTTGGAGAACTTAACTGGATATTTGCTGCCATTTGAGCGGTATGTTGCGATTTGTTAAACCGGAGCCACGTGAAAAGGTTTATTTAGTACATTATTTTATTTGAGATAAGAGCCGCTTTCCAGTGCCTAAATTGTTAGAGTATCATGCTCCTGAAGTGTGACGCTCTTGAACTGTTCAACATAAGCAGCACTGGAACGCTCTCGTCTTAACCCCCACCATTTCGGATTTCAGGAGCATGAAACGCATACAAAAGGGTTGGTGCACGAGGGGGCAGGGGATAACAGAAATGAGTAGCTCAAGTGTACGACACTCTAAGCACTGGAACGCGCAAAGCAATTGTGGAGCACTCCTGAGCTGCTCAGGAGTAACTCAAATGGGTCACTGGAAAGCACCTTAGACAACCCATGTTTCGATCTCGTTTGTATCTTCCTCTTTGATGCCTATTACGTTAATCAAAATTAAATTTTTCCTAATTTTCCTACAGTCGTGCGGAAAAATCAATTCTCCGCACTGATATGCGTGCGGAAAATGAGTTTTCCCGCACAGTGCGGAAAAACTTTTACCGCACGCATATCAGTGCGGAAAAAGTTTTACCGCACGGCTGTCAGTGCGGAAAAAATTTTACCGCACGGCTGTCAAAAAAAAAAAAAAAATTCTAGATTTTTACGCCTGTAGGAAAAATATTGTACCTAACACTTGCGGAAAAGTTAGGTAAATAGCTATTTCATCATGTGAACCATGGCTGTTGCAAAGCGCTGACACCGTTGATGACGTCGACAACGGTTCAACACCATATGAACTTGATTCCAAAAATAGAGGCCGATGAGCGATCCTGTAATAGTGATATCCTTGGTGTAGCCTAGCTGAGATCAGAAATACGCGCTTTTAATCTGTTTTGAGTATTTAATTTATTACGTTACTACCCCCGGTCCGCAAAAAAAAAACCGAATTTTTCGGTTGAATACCCATTCGTTTTTGATGATCAATCTTGGAATGGTTCGAAACAGTGCTAAGTTTGCGCCTGCTATTGAACTAGAAAACGATTTACGTTCCAGAGCGGTTCTTAAACGAATTCTCGGAGAATTGAACAATCACCATGACTCGCCAGTCGAATATATGTCGATCGGGCGGGGCACGTCGAGTATTTATTGCTTATGCTTCATTCTCAGTTGCGCGAAATTTGCTCTGTTTTTGCGTGTATCAAACGTCAAATTATCGAAGCTGTCAAAAAAAGAGCGAACTTCGAGCAACTGAGAATGAAGCTCAGGTGGAGTATTCTATCGATAAGCAGATTAGTCTGTTCTCACAAAAGTCCCTGACAGCTTGCAAACTCTCACACATGTTTTCTACAGTGACTCTATTACCCACAGTGGCGACAATTGCTGTCTTATTTTTGATTGGTTCTAAAATCCCATATATTTATATTGAAAACGCGGCCATCTTGTTCCCACCTATTGCTTATTTCAAATGAGAATATATGGGATTTGGGTGAACATCCATCATAAAACATGGAAAACAACGTATTTGATGGACCTAATACTAGTCATCAAATACGTCGATTTCAATTTTTTATGATAGATGTCCTTTTAAATCCTATATATTATAGTAGATAAATATTTAAAAGTAACAAGAGGTTGGGAACAAAATGGCGGCGGGACCTCTATTGTCGCCACTGTATGTAAAGGTTTATTTAGCCACTGTAATGTTTTCAAAGCCGTCGTCCAAAGATAAATCGGTAACTGAGCTGAGCGATTGTTTCTCATAGTTTGCAAACTGTCAGAGACTGTAAGAACCAATAAACTAAGAGAACAGACCTGATATTAAGAAATGGAAACAGCAGAGTGCACTGAGTGCAAATAATTGAGTACGCAGAATTCGCGCTGAATCGTTCAACGGGTGGATCGACCCCGAGCGCGACCGATTGGTTCCAAACATCCAAATGCAAATTGCGCATTGAGTACGTTACTCAAGGGATCGAAATGAATGATACTGAAAAGATTCGATCATTTTCAATAACATTCGTTGAATGATCGAGTCTTCGTAAAATGAACGCATGAAACATTTCTAAATCCAGAGCTGCATTCGATTGCCCAGATTTAGATCTATGTTCAATTTTAATAGCGTATTTCATTGGTAGAGCAAGTGCAACACTAGTGCAATATTCGTGATCCATTGATTAGTGGTTGATGATTTTTCATAAAAAAACAGTCCCAAATGTTATTTTTTTATTGCGTTTTTTATGTTTGTCTGCGAATCTACTACCAAAAATGTCAAAAATCGCTTGTTGATGGCAATTGCCTTGATGGAAAGTAGCAGCAGCAGTGAAACCAGTAAATATGAAGAATATTTAGGGCTTCTAGCAGAGAGGGAAGAACTTTTTCTAAATTATATTTTAATAATTATTTATAATGAGCACAAATATCATTTTTTTTAATGAAATTCCATATTTGAGGTTTGACGTATATGGGATGGTGCAGGACGATGATGTTTCATTGGGACTGCTCGAGTGCAGTTTTTTGAAAGTATCAGTGCAGAACGAGTGTTGCACTTGCTCTACCAATAAAATACGCTATAAGTGAACCGGACCGTGTTCGATTGTAGTTGGATGAGTTTACCCCCACCAACATAGAAATGATCTAGATCCACTCTGGATCACAAATGAACTAAAGATATTGCCGGTTCACTTAGATCAAATATATTTTTAAAAAATCATGTGCAGCGTCGTATATGGGGTAGAAGTGAAACTTCTTAAACACTAGGTAACTCCCCCCCCCCCCCCCCACTTTTAGACCTAAGTGTATGAGTCGGGATAAAAACGAACGAAAACGCGCATCTGTAGTGACGTCACAAGGGTATCAACGCTTGACATAATCCTCTTTGGCTTATATTCCTTGATTTTTGGCAATCAATGGCTGTTTATCCCCGTTTTTGATATCATTTTTGATAATATTTTAATAATTTCAATACACTAAAATAATGACTGTTCCCGGTTGCAATAAAAAAAAAAATCACAGCACACAAATGTTGTATAAATAACGAAAATAATCACAAAACACAATGATATAATAGCATAACAAAACGGAGACGAGCATCTATAGTGACGTCATAATAGTATCGGCGCTTGTCAATGATAGGCAATCTTAATTACGCTTATAGTACTTGGTTTGTGTCAAACAATAGTTTTCTGTCCCGTCTCTTTTCGTAATTTCTCTCTCGAGCAATGAAAAACTGGAATGCGCACACATTGCCATATCTGCCAAAAAAATGTAGCCATGAAAGACAGATGCCACAAAGGGGAATGTTGTTTTTTTCTGTTGCTCGCTGACATATGACGTTTTGGAAAGTTTTGTCATATTTACCTTCACAGGTTTCATCAATTGGAATACGTGTTGGAAGCAATTTCCGCCATTTAACAGAATGAGTGCGACAAAAACAGGTATCCCCTCCGCAGCAGCGGCACTAGGCTTCATGTTCGTCAATATGTGTTCGCATTCCAGTTTTTGGTTATAGTTCATTGCTCTCGAGTAACGAAATTTCCCCGTGACGCGTTTTTCAAATCATTCTCCATTGACGTTCAAATATCAGAACGCCGCCTAGAAGTACAGTGGCTAAATAAACCTTCACATACAGTGGCGACAATAGAGGTTCCGCCGCCATCTTGTTCCCAATCTCTTGTTACTTTTAAATATTAGTATATAGGATTTAAATGGACATCTATCATAAAAAATTGAAATCGACGTATTTGATGACCATTATTAGGTCCATCAAATACGTTGTTTTCCATGATTTATGATGGATGTTCACCTAAATCCCATATATTCATATTCAAAAGTAACAAGGGGGTGGGAACAAGATGGCGGCGTTTTTAATATAAATATATGGGATTTTAGAACCAATCAAAAATGAGACAGCAATTGTCGCCACTGTGGGTTATAGAGTCACTGTACCTAGAAGTTTCACTTCAACAAGAAAGCTTTGTACACCAAACGGAACGACTAACAAGTGACAGTTGACAGTTATCGAATCGAACCTACTTTTTCCGTTCGGATCGATCAAGAACAGGTCGGGATTCTAAAATCACGATTCGACATACGATTCG